TTATGTTCATGCAGAAACTGAACTTAATTACTTTATCTCTTTTTACGGTTTCACCTAAATACTTACGAGAAAAAACGCACAGAAAATCATGGGACGCCTAAAACACGTAAAAAATTGAAGTGTAATTTCTTTAAGACTAAGGAAGTAGTAACGAGTAATGTAACTACGTTACTTGAAATAGTAACATAAGTACGTTACCCGTTACTGTGTTGAAAACGTAACGAGTGGGTTACTACGTTACTGAAAAAAGTAACGCGTTACCAACAACGCCGTTACTTGTAACCTGTTACCGCCAAGACTGCAGAACGGACAAAGCGTTACTGCTTGTCATGCCTTGTGGTCATGAGGGGCAGGGAAAATATCATACCTTGACTTGGAGACGCTGTGTGTACTTAATCAATTAATGAATACACACACTTCCGCGGACCCACAGGCTGTTGATCCCGCCGGCAGTGCGGAAACCAAGTCGAAGTAATCGTAGACCTCGAGAGACGTGTACGCCTGCACCGTGTCGGCCGTGAACTGGCTTGGCGAAAAAACTAAATAAACGACGACGTGAGCCATCGACGTCGGTGGCAGCAACTTTACGTCGGAAGTCCAGCAGGTCTTGTTTATACGGCGTACGGATCCTCGTAGTCAACGCCGTCCACTCACAGTTTGTTTCGCTACCGCTGCCGTTCACGCTCGGGCAACGAGCTCAAATAGTCGGGCATAGCATACGACATACGTTGTGAGGAAATACGACGGACAAATAAAAACACAAGCGTCCCTACAACGTCAACAACGAGCGCACGCCATAGAGCGCAATGGCGAAAACACGGAGAGCCGGGCTGCTTTTGCCCACATAGCTACCGCGCATGCGCGGCCTTCCGGCCGTGTTGGTAAACAGAGCCGCTCCGCGTGTCGGTCTTAGACCAGGTTCTGCCCTGGTCCTGTTCATAAATCGCAGCAACTGACCGCGCTTGCTGTTTTTTATTTGATCGCGTAACAACAATAAATTTGAGCATGATGTTTTTTGTTGTTTTTTTAACTCGATTATTGTCGTGCAAGTAGATACCAGTGTTCTAACAATGTGCCTAATTTCGTTCGGCTTGAGAAGTGTGTTTTGCACCCAAAGAAATTTAATAACGAATTTTGACAGCCTTTATTATTTTAGTTATTTCAAAATGCTGTGACCCTCAATGAGGTCATCGTAGGAGTGAAAAAACACACACAAAAAACTCATATACATTCAAAAAGATAAACAATTAAGATGTACACGCCTTATGAAATAAAACTAAGAGAGCGGTGAAAAAAATGCAATATAGTAGAAAAAGATTATAAAAACAGTCAGATACTCTTCACTAGTAGACTCGCAGGCGCCATGCTAAGGAACCTACAGTACTTCTAATGCAAATCTATCAAATTCGAGATAACGAATTTTGTGCACGCCCATGTGAAAGGGTTTGTGGACGCTCCACTTGGATGAAGTCCAGTCATTGTTGCAACAAAGGGCCGGAATTCATCGTTTGAGCAGCTCGGGAATTCTCGGAAATCTAAAATTCTCGGAAATCACACTAAAAATCCCTGAAAAAAAAAAAAAAAAAAAAGTGTGACATTTTTTTTTTTTTTTTTTTTTTATGCTGATAATTCGGTTTCGAGCAGTTAAGTTTGTTTGCGTTATTAAAAGTATACGTGACTTTAGCAAACTCTGACACCCTATTAAAACGCGTGGCAGAAAAATAATGAAAAAATTGGGGTGTTGGAAAGGGGGTTGGGGGTGGGGGGTTTGTGTCAGTTTGTCGAGTTCCTTTTCTCAGATTGTCCTTTTTTTTCATTTTTACATGTTTCGCTAGGTTGATTTCCAACTTGGTCAGTTCAATAACAGTATGCAGTGTTCAGATTGATTCATATATATATGCTGTTTTAAATATTGTAAACGACTTGCTGGTAATTATTACAAGGACCTAATTTTCGCAAACTTTACAACTCGAACAATATCGCGAAAATAGAACCCACAAATATGTTTCACTATAACTAAAACAAAAAAAAAAAAAAAAAAAAAAAAAAAAAACTGCATTACATCTTCATTGCGAAATTTCGTGCACGCAAAACATTCCCGAAATTCATATTTTGCCGATTTCGCGAAATATTGAGTCTGCGAACATGAAGTACTTTGCGGTGTACTTGAAATACTGGCCATCCCTTTGTCAAGCAGCCTGCAGGGACCTTCCCGACGTTGGGTGAAGTGCGCGTGGTCAGTCGACCGTTGAGCACCGTTGGGTCAGAACCCTTTAGAGTCGGCTGGCTGAAATCCGAGGGAGTGCGCTGCCTGGCGGTGGCCCAGCGGGACACCTGACGTGAACACGGACGCCGCAGGGAGGGCAAAGTGTGCTCGGAAGTCCCCCGGGGCTGCCAAGTGCTCTTTGGAAATGTGAGCCTCGGACACGCAGCTTTCGTTTCCCGACTGATGCGGGGATTGATGAGGCGGCCAGGCGGCTCTCGTATGCCACTTGAATGTCACTCGACCCGATGTATGGATATCACGACGGTCAGTTTCGGGACTTGCGTGGCACTAGAGCTAGGGTGCCTACGTGTTTCCGCCGCGGAGCGGAAACATGTAGGCACCCTAACTAGAGCTCTGCGTGCGCTCGGTGCTGACGCTGCAGTGTGTGCGTGCAGGTTCGCCCCGACACCGCCGCGACCCCGCACGTGCCGACTCCACGCTTCCACGGACTGTCCCCGGCGACGGGTGAGCGTCGATCCGTATCGAAGCACTTTACGACTATACTTCGTTTCTCCGCAAAGGGATACTGACACCCCCCAAAATGTATTTTTAATGTTTTGCCAGGCGATTCATTATAGTGTCAGAAGTCTACCCAATCAATATTTTGCTAAAGCGTCACGAGCATTTTTAATAATGTCAGAAAACGCAAATGCTCGAAACCGAAACTGGACTGGGGAGAAAGAAGAAATATAGAGGAGGAGAGAGTTACCGGAAGTCACGTGGCTGTGCAACTTCTTTTCCTTCTATCAACGTATTTGCAGTTTCTTAGAATCCACAAAAAATGGGTATCATACTTTTGTCTATTTTTATTATTGAGCGTGTGTTTTCGACGACCCACGACTTTGATTACCTTTAAAGTTGTTTCTAAACCATAGAAAACGGCACGTGACCACGGAGAAGAGAGTGAGTGCGACTCAAACAGGCCAGTTCTCGATCGGCGGTTTTCGGGCGGAAAGAAAACGAATTTCGAGCCACAAATTGTTTTCTGGGTAGTTGGGCTCTCGTATGTCATGTACAATTAAAAACCTTGGTGAGCGTAAATACCCTGTCAGTGTCCCTTTAAATCCAGACGCAGCTGACGAACGAGTTGATATGGGACCGATCAAACAGTGTCAAAAGCGGAAATCACTGGGCCTTTCCTGTACTGTCGTGAGCAAAAGTCTGGATAACACGGGAGCGCCGACCGGATTCCATCGCCGCGCTCCCTGACGGCGCGGCGCCTGGTGTCGAGACCCGCGCAATACGCACGCGCGTCCTTTCTTATCTGCTGGCCCACTCGTTCGCTCGCTTCAACGCGATGCGCTCCTGAGCGATTAAATGGGCGCTAGGTGCCGCCCCGGGAACCAAGATTCCTAGGGTGCCTACATGTCTGTCTGTCTCAGGGTGAAGACATCCATTGTTGCCCTGAATGTGCCAGCGCGTGACGCTCTCGCGCACTTGGTGCGTGACTTGGGCGGTAAAATGGCGTCTATGCATTAGCCAAAGCTACGCGCTCGAGCTGAGCGACACCGGATTGCGCGCACTTCAACATGCATAAAACAACGATTGGGCGGAAAAATGGCTGAGATGTCACCACTCAAGCAAAAGAGCGCGTGTGTATGAAGGCACTCTACAAGATTCCGAGAGCCTTGCTCACCGCTCTGGACGAACTCGCGTGCTCCGCGGCACGCGCCGTTGTCTTCGTAGTGTTTGCATTCTACTGCTACATCATTGAAGACTGAAAGTGATTGCACATATTACAGAGGAGCTGTTAGATTTGCCATAGTCTAATCCTTCTTTCAGATATATTCTTATTTATTTAGTTATTTACCCTCAAGGTGCAAAGGACATCACTGAGGGGAGTGAACTAAAAAAACAGATGACAATGAAATCAGCTAAGGGCACAGTTGCTAAGAGTTTGCTCCAAAAGAACATCAGTAATTGCAGGGATGGAAGCGGGAAGCCATTCGGTGTTTGAGGTATGAATGACTCACCAGCTGTCAGCAGTAACAAGGCTGAGGAGTCTTGGGTATGCCTTCACTACAGAAGTGCTTTCGAACACAATTAGCCCTTTGCAGTTGATGGACAGTGCACGGGTCAGCCTGCGAGACTAGCCGACCATTTAGATGTCAGCATTCTTGATCATTGTGTGGCATCTGTGACATGTTAATAGTAACATCCTGGTGGTTGATGGAGGAACAAGTTAATGTCGTGCATTCAAGCAGATGACACAAAGCCTGGGCATTCTAGATATTAGCCTAGTGCAATGCACAGATCGGATGCAAGTGCAGCATTGTATGTCTGTTTCAGAAGTTTGATCAGTTGGTCGGCACGCACTCAGTACACAAGCCTCTAGATGTGGTGAATTTTATCGAGGTCTTTTCTCGGGTCGGCGTTACGTGCAGAGCGGTAATTTATTTGGTCGCCATTTTGAAACTGGAACGAATGCAGAAATAACTGTACGGTGAGGAACAGATTCCTGTCTGTCGTAGACATACAAATTGAAGCGCTACATCTATACCAGCATGAGCGTGGCAAAAGTTAGACTGACATTTGAGCCACGAGATGGCCGCAAATTTCAGAAAATGTCCGTTGAGAAGGATTCCCCACTCGGATGATGTCCACGATGAGCTCCCGCCAATCCGTGGGCCACATTATTGATCGAGCCCTTTCTTTCTGTGAATATTGAGGGTTGGTGCTCTTGTGTGGGCGGTTCACGGAAAAGAGTGTCTTTTATTTTCTCTCTGGCGTGCAGCTAAGCTGGAGGATAAGAAGCGTCGTGCCTGCGAGCATCTGCAGTGTGGCAGGAGGATGGGCGACATCTGGGTGCAGTGCTTTGCCTGCTGCGTCACCGAGCAACCAGCTCCGGTGAGCAGACAATCTCCCGTGCCGCGCCTCTGGCTGGGGCGGTGGTGGTCCGCCACTGTCGTGCCAACGGTCTCTCGTCCTTTCTTCCCCGGGAAACAGAAGCGGCGGCGGCGGATAGACCGGTCCATGATAGGGAATCCGACCAACTTCCAGCACACGGCCCACGTGGGCTCTGGGGACATGAGCGTCCATGTGAGCCACTCTCTTTTTTCTCTCTGCCTGCTCTGGGGCTTGATCCACCCGAGGGACACTCGGAGCTTTCAAATGGGCTTGGCCTTGGTTGTACCCAGTAACAAATAACTGCTAACTGGTAACTAGGGCCCTTTTCTGCACTTTAGGTAGGAACCTAGGTACTTTTCTTTCTTAATGGCGGCAATCGTAACTTGGGTACAATTTCTGGCAACTTGTAACTACAAGGAGTTACTTTTCCCTAGCAAGTCGAGAAAGGGCTTGGAGACCTATGCAAGAGGGTTAATTTAGAGGTGCGCAAACAGTGGTTCAAATGGAAGAGTGCAGCGTCATCCCTAGCTGCAAAACTGCAGAAGGAGCTAATATGTTATGGGTTTCCCAGCACTGTGGAGCCTACACATAATGCAACGCTATTTGATTCAAACAACTATTTGCACATCCCTGGTTTCATCTCAAGGAAACTACTATCAAAATGGTATTTGTAGGACATACATGAAGCATCTTCGTGCAAAGAATGTTGGTTCGAGGTAAGTGAACCTAACAGAGATCGGTATCGCCATCGAAGATGACTAACAAAAAGCATCTTTCGAATTGATTTTCTTGGGCGCCATCCCTAGAGCTCATGAACATTGTTCAAGTCTAATAGGGTAGAGGTCTCGCTTCTTATATCCCCCAAATTAATCAACTAAGGCCTTGGCGTCTCCCGTAATTCTTCCCAGTAAAATGTTGCTAGGACATCAGTTGTGCAGTTATTGAAATGAAATTGTTTCTTGTTCGTTCATATAAAAAGAGACTTGAGGATTGAAAAGGTACCTTGGAACTAACTGTATGTGCATCTAGGTAAACCTTGAAATAACCTTCTAGAAACGTATGTCAGGTGTATTTTAGTGCGAGTAACTATAACTCTGTCTCAGGTAGATCTTTAATCTTTAGAGTAGCTTCGTCAACCCTGGTCTCAGTTGCAAAAAGAGCCTGTTGTCTGGTCAGATGCCTTACGGTTGCCGTCTGTCTTGCCCGTTTGGGCGGCGCAGCTGAATGCCCTGCAGAACCAGATGGCCTCGAAAGGGGGCTACGAGTACGCCCTCCCTGTGAATGTGTCCATTCCTGTCGTGGATGTCCAGCAATGACACGAAAGGTGGGTGTGGTCTCTCCCTCTTCCCACATTCACCAGCAGGGGCCAGCGTAGTAGGGTCTTGTGAGGTTTCCGAGCATTGATAACCCAAATCTGCCGATGAATAACGGCCTTTCACACAGCACTGTTTCATTACGTTACGAAAGCTTACGTTGGCTCATGTTGAGAGTCACCGAGACATCTGTGCTTCATATGAAGCGCAGCAACCAGTTCAAGGAGTCAACCTGGACGTGACATTCGAAGCACGGATGTTGCGGCGACTTATATGTAAGAAAACACTCCTGTGTGAATGGGCCTTAATCCATATTAAATCAAGAAATTGAACGAGCAATCCCCGAGAAATAAATTGCCACCACGCGATTAATGCTGAAAAAACCTGCCTGGTCCGGGCATTGGTCTTGGGACCTCTTCCAAGACTAGGGGAGCGCTCTGCCGACTGAGTTAACCAGGAGCTAGCCATTGCAAATGGACATTAACAGATGCCGCCAGTCTCAATCGTAACCACCGCGAGGGTGGGGAAAATGTTGAACAGCACGTTTGGCCTTCAGGCGCTGCTCACAATGCAAGCCAATAAGCTTCAGCTCGCTAACGGGCACTCGAAAATGTTCCCTAACCGCAGAAACGTCGTATCAAGCCGCCAAATTTGCTCTTCAAACTTTAGCGTGCATTCTGGCATGTCAGTGTATAGCTGTTTGTGGAAAACCCTTTTCTCTTGTTTAGGAGATGGCAACAAACAAAAGAAGCTACCTTCTTTTTTCCTTATTTGCTCTTTTTCTAGTTTTGGTCGTAATGGATAAGTGACTTGGGGACGAATTTCATACATGTTTTTGTTCAAAGTGGCGACGCAGGCGAGATGGTTCATGATACAGCTGGAAAGAGTGCACAAGTAACAGACAAGGAAGGTGCAGATGGGACGAGCGCTGGACTTGAACTGATTATTTAGTAAAAGGAAAACCATCAAACAAACCATCCACATCACTATCACTTAGAGATGTGCTTTAAAAAGGCTACTTTCATTTTTATGTTAACAAACCCTAGTTTGACTGTCGCACACCGCGCCTTTCTTTCCTATCTCAAACACTTCCACTTCTCTTGCAGTTTTATCAACCCCTTTCCCCAGAATTGTGATGAAGTCAAAGTTCGGCTTACATTTGCAAGATATGGCTGCATAATCCTTCGTGAGTATGCAGCCAAATCGCAGTATTTTGGGTGAAGGTGGCACATTTTCTTTCACTCGTGCCAAGATAAACAGTAGGAAAAATACAAGCTGCAAAATCTTTCTACGTTAAACTCATTGCACTACCCTCTTTAAAAGAGAGCTCCGGCGTCGATTTGAACATTTTTAACCAAGCACATTTTCTGATTGAGCACAAGAAACTAAACCTAAAGCAACAAATAAATTTCTAAAGAAAATATTTGAATAATTTTTGAGCCGTAGAATTACGATATAACCGAGACTGAAACTAACCTGCAACTTTACTGGTCCGCCATCTCGTGGCAACGTCACATGTTGCATAAACATTGGAAAATGGGCAGCTTGAGCCTGTTTTGTTCAGCATCAGAGGCAGTGAGAAGGCCATCCCGATTGATGGACTACGATTCATCAAGCTCGTCCGAGTCAAGCGACGACCAGCGGGTGTTTTAAGATTTTCGGAGCGAGATTTCAGATGACTCGCCGTTCACATTTGATCTGCCAGCATTGCCTTCGAGGAGACCTTCCGCGAGGTCCACATTCGCGGGGACCCAGATTACCCCTTCGAAGCAGAATGGCAGGAAGGGTTTTATTTGCTAGCAAGGTGCAAACAGTTTCCTAGCACGAAGCGAACGCTAGGGGCCAATGTTCTGGTTGGACTGCTCAGACCCACTTCCGTCGCGGACTTCTCGGTCAGAAATCAATAAGATGTCGCTCTGCCACATTTCTTCGCAATGTTATTGCACCCCGCAGCCAATTTCCAATTCTCCCCACCCTCCATTGCATGCCACAAACAGCCTAGACCAAACTTGATTTGAAAAACCACAGACGCTCGCTTTTGTTAGTTGAGCGGCAGCAAATGATTCGGAAGTGTATGCGTAAACTTCAAAATTCCTTTTCTCGAAAGAAAATTAATATTCCGATCAAATATTTCGTTGACATACTCGCAACCGGCATGCGGCGAAAATTTTATAAATAATCGACGACTGTCAATATTTTGCGGGGGCTCTCCCAAACCCAGCAGACGCTTTGCCTCGAGCGTGAGCTTTCTGCCTGAACTTGGTCACACATGAAGCCAAAGCCCGGTGGAAGGCAACCAGCACGTGCCGGAACTGGGTTCTTGTCACCGACTGTACGTGGCGTAGAGTTGTGTGTTGTCATTCTAGTGGTAGGCAACCAGGCCAGTTGGGATCCTACCTTGTCCACTCTGTGGGAAGGCAAACAATGACTCGTGGCTTTTTGCAGCTGCTCATGCAGCCTTCCGAGTGCCACGGTGGAAAGGACGCCCTGCCTGCTGGAGTGTGGACGCCCGTGATGCCGAGCCGGTGGATCAACGCCCTCGCCCTGCCAGTCACTGTGCGCCGCCCGGCCGTCTCATCGGCTCCTCGTCATTTGCCAAGCGTCTCCCCCGCATGCGCGGACGCCTTTTGTCCGAATGCACCGGGACATCTCAAATGGACTGGGACGGCCGTCGCTCCTGCCGCCTTTGTGTTCTCGCACCCCGCCCCCTGGCACTGGCGGAGCGGCGATGCGTCCAAATCGGTTGTGCCGACGGACTGACGAACTCGAGCCCTTTGCGCTTTCCTTTTAAAAAAATCCTTTTACAGATTAGACGAGCACCTTTGTACATAAGGTTGTGTTTGCGGGGTGGAAATGCGAATGCTAGGACAGCTTAGGATAGCAGTCAGTCTCGCTCGGAGGCTGTAGCGTTGCTTGCAATCGGCCGTTGTCCGGTCGCAATTTTACCGTCGTCGACTCCCAACTAGAATGTCGTGCAAGCCGTTCGTGCGAGTATTGCCCACGCGTATCCTCCCCGGAAAGGAAGTGGACACGTGAAACCGACCTGGATCGAAGAAGCTGCATTGCCACAGGAGCGGATGGCCTGGCCAGGATGTGAGGTACAAATCGGTGGGAATGACTAAAGGCATTTTGTGCCGTGTGAGAGTGGTAGTGTTGTTCTATTTAAAGAGTACCTCTTGGGGAACAAACGAGCTGCGTAAAGAGTAATAAACTGCTTTTTATTAAGTGAAGTATGTACATGTGGACTGTGGCCTCCTTCGTCGCACTTTTATATACAAGAGACGTTGCGGCGTACTCGCCGGTCTGCTCAGTCATCGTCTTCGTCGCTTTCTTCAATGGCCTTCTTGGTCTTCTTGCTCTCGGCCTTTTTGTCAAAGTAGTCCTGAGAAAAGAGTAACATCTTTTGTTTTCCCCGGCCACAAGGTAGTACTATGCTTGAGATCTGGAAGGCTGCAGCTACGTCACTGGGAGCTGCCGCTTATTGAACGAGGGCTGCACAATGATGCTTGGGTGTTTTCATAGTTCTCATTTGTACGTAATTATGTCGTAAGTTTTTAAAAGACAGCATGATGTTTGCTACATTAAAATGATATACTTCTTGGCCAAACAAAGCACATAAAAATATTTCCGTATACAATACCAATTATATATATTGTAATATGATATGTATACTTCGTTTCAGCTCAAGTCCAGACGCAGCCAATGCTGCGAGCGCGAGAATAATGTGAGGTGGGTGGCCCTGAACAGTACTTGCATTGCACAAGTGTGTGCTTAGCAGGGACGCTCCAAGCTCGTGCTTGTAGCATCGGCTGCATCTGTACTCGAGCTGAAATGAAGTACAGTTAGTAATAATGCAAAATATTAACTATGTTGTTCGTTGAGGGTCAATGGCTGCAACCTGGAACAAACGAGCTAATTAAATGCTTAAATAATATTATTGGATCTTCGGAATCTGCATGGAACGTACCGTAAGTATCCCTAAATAGTGGGAGAAAAAGAAATGCTCCTAGGGTATGTGGAAATGGATATTTCTGGACGAACAACATCTGCCGCTTGCCAGTATGGCTACAGCCTCTACATACGCTGCCCCTTGGAATATCATCCACCAATCTCGGGAAATGCTTTTCCACCCCCAGAAATGCTCCAACCGGCTTCCGCAGAGCAAAACAATATTGCTCCAGCCTTCAGACACTGTGCCTAAGGCTCGGCAAGCGGCATTTTGGAGTCGTCGCCAACCCTGCCCGCTCTGTACTCTGGGCAGCAGAAGGGTGGCGTCCGCGAGACAATCGGGGGAATGGAGTGTGGCCCAACCGAGGCCTCACCCACCAGGTCACTGTCGTCGTCGTCCTCCATTGCGTTGCCCTTGGCCTTCTCCAGGCGGCGGGCACGGCCGTCGTCCGGGTTGGACACCTCGTCGTCCGACGAGTAGACGGATGGTCGCTCTGCGGTGGCACGAAGGAAAAACATAGATTTAGTTCGACGCAATGCCTTTCTCTCAGCCATTTGCACTTTTCAACAGCCTGCCTCTCTACGTTGTTCCAAGTAAGTTTTCCACGCTTTTCAAACTCCAGTTTCCAGGAGGCCTTGAGCAGCCGCCACAGAAACCCCGGTGTCGGCAATGATGCAAAGAGCGAGGCACAAGCCTGCAGAACTTGCAAACAGTAATGTACAGACTAGGGCGTGTTCGGCACATAGATGGCCATCAATGGGCGGCTCTCCTCATACAGGACACTGGAAGAGCATTAGCCGCATTGGAAATGAACCAAAATCGTCACCGCTATCTCTGAACTGGACCAGAACTGAACCAGAAAAGGTAACCGGTTCAGCCCAGTCTTGCTTTACACCGCGACTTGACACCTAACGTCGCCGTCCCACGCCCAAGCATTGACTCGGGCTGACGAGAATCTAAGCTTTGATGCTTTGGGGAAAAGTAGTGGGTCGTACTACGGTGATTTGAGCTAGTTGGTACATAATTGAATAGGGCCAGCTGACCCTATTCAATTATGTACGATTACAAATTTCTCATTTGTAATCGTACAGCTGACCCTACTCAATAGTGGGTCATGTTCAGTCAAAGGTGAGTATAGCCCAATTCTAACAACGTCCGGAAATGTGCACGTGCTTGGACATTCCAGCACGTGTCTATGATGGGCATTGGCGGTAGATAATCAGGACCCGATCACGTGGCTACTTATTTTAATTTAAAGTTAAGGAAGTTAATTTAAAGTTAAGGAAGTTAACTCTGCTTATTTATATCAATATATATATATTTTTTACAGCGGATTCTGACGAGCCTACCCTACCAATCTGGCCCTGTAGCTGGGGACTCTGCTATTATATGTTCAGTATTCAAATCGGTGAAATTACGTTTTGGCACAATGTTGGCGCTAATTCTCATTTTTGGCGAAATGTAGGTGCAACAATCGCATCACTGTGTTTCCCTCTTGCAACTGAACAGCTCTCGTGAAAACTACCTGGGCGACATCTTGGGCAGCAAAAGCGGGCCCTTATCTCATTCGAGCAAATTGCAAAACCTCACAATACTGCGCGAATAGAAACAGGACAACGACATTTGTTTGCATTGTAATACAACGGGCCAGCGATAATGCTCTCCATTACACCGGCAGTTTGGAAGGTATTATTTCATTATTAAACCCAACGATTGCTCGTTAGTCCCGATAGTGTCACGTGGCATTTGTGCAACCTTTTTGTACAACACACACAGCAGCTCCTTTCATGGCTCGCATTATGCGCTTGGAAGCAACGGCGAATAAAACTTGGGCATGGCACGACACTGGCAAAGCCTCGTGGCACGTACATACCCTTGAGAGCGGGGCCACCCCTGCGGTACTTGTTCTTGATGGCGGACAGGGAGATGGCGGCGTCGTCCTCGTCGGGCTCCAGGTACGAAGAGCTCAAGCCCCGCGAGTGGGCCTTCTCCCGGATGCGCCGCTGCTTGCTCTCCCGCCGGATGGACGCCCGCAACCGGTCCTCCTCCCGCTGCACGCAAAGGGAGAAACGCGCCACTCAAAGACTGTGCGCGCTCGTCGAGGCAGCAACATTATTTCCGGGCTTTTCACAAGCGGAACCGGCACAAGACGGTCGCGCGCTTGCCACACGGCTGATTCTGGGCCCCGTCTGAAATGAGGAAAAGAAATTTCGCCTTCCGCCATGGTAACCCTGGAGCGAGGGGACAAAAAAAAGGACGGACAGACACGAAATTCGGAGTTTCGTGTTTGTCCATCTTTTTTTCTGTCCCCTCACTCCAGGGTTACTACGTCTATCCTTAACCAGCTCGTCTGCCTACTTGCTTTAACTTTAATTTTGCCCTTCGATTGCAAGCGCCAATCAAACGCGCGGAGATCTTTGCTTGCGATGTAGTTTACATGGCATGTTGCATAAATAAAAGGTCTGTACTGTGGGTTGCAACGCGTATCTAGCCTCTTCGCCGGTCGCGGACTTTTCACCGAACGCCGAGGGGATCTTATCATCATTTAGTGGCAGCGTGTGATGTAGTATGAAGTTGCCCGAGAGGGGTAATTAAGCAAAGATGACTGTACTTCCCAGTCAACAAGGTTTGCTTATATCGTGCCATAGCTAACTAGCCGCATTTACGTCGAAGCCACATTGATTCAAACACTACAATTACTAAGAGTGGGCTATTTTTTGGTGTTTATAAAATATAGCAAATCGAGCCAAAAAGAGGGGGCTGGTTATCTTTCGGGGGTGAAGCGTCACTCCGGATATTACGGTAGATAAAAACAGCTTTCTTTCGAAGACTCCTAACCATGTCTGCCAGCTGGCTGGGGAAAAAGACAATCGAGCGCTCCTATGGTAGCGATCTGTTCTTGGTCCGTCAACTACGAGATGCAACCTCTCGGATGTGTCCACAGACGTGTCAGAGTTCAACATTTTTCGAGCGGTTGGTGCAAAACCTCTCGGTGCCAGGTATGTGGAACATTTGAGTTGCACCTACATATGACAGCCTTGCAAACCTCACCGTTCACAAGTTCTAACCCCAATTTCTGCCACACCTTCAAACGAAAAACCTTCTAAAATGGTAACCCCCACTCCTGGAGTGGCAAAGCTCAAAGCTCAGTAAAGGCCCGTTAACACGCTTTCGACTCCTTAAGGCCCATACACACACTTGCGACCTTTTAGAACCGGGTGCCTTGGAACCTCAAACTCTTACAACGAGAGGACACACTGGCGCCATCTATTCGGTAGCAGTGTAAACTTGGCCAGTCCGGTGTATTTTCTATTTCTCTCGCGTATTATCCTTTCTTTCTTGGCTCGAAAAACTTTTGTCAATGTTATAAACTCGCTCTTGTGAAATGCAGTTCCAGGGTCACCACATAGATGGCACCAGAGTGCCAGTGTGTTCTCTGGTCCTAAGAGATTTTAAGAGGTTTCAACAGGTCTCGTCTCTCTTGGTCGTACTCGGTTGCAAAAGTGTGAACGGGCCTTTAGAACCAAGTGCCTTAAAACCTCTTAAAATCCCTTGCGACGAGAGAACGCACTGACACGCTGGCACCATCTATGCTGACACCCTGGAACTGCATTTCACTACAGCAAAGGTGTGAGGTCAAATGTTTGTTTATACATCAACTCATGCTTACAAACAAACCGGAGCGCCCCTGGCGGATGCCACTGGCGCCGCGCATGCGCGATGGGGGTGTGGGCAAGAAGCTCGCCGTCGCCCATAAACAAACCGTTGAAATGCGATGTTATCGGCATCGGTGTGAGTCCCCCTGCCCTTTTTCGCATTTGAATTGTTGATCCTACATCTTCCTGGCAATGTCTGACTACTTGAGCGGCCTCAGCGAAACTAACGAGGCTCGTTACACCGCAAAACTTTGCGTGAATAATGTGACATGCGGCGATTCATTTCGCATGGACGACACAGTATGTACGCTAAAGCCTGATTTGCATGATGACATTTCGCTCTCAATGTTCGGTTGCGACGTAGCTCGGGCTGCAAAAGCGTGAACCGTAGCTGAGAAGGTCAATGTCGATACTGAAAATCTCAAGCAGAATCGGACCAAGTGAATCGGGCATAACAAGTCGGTGATGGCCACTGGTATCAATGATGAACATATCCTTGTATCTACTGTTTACATCCAGCCTGCTTACCAACCTTCAAACTTAAGTCTTTCGAGGCCTGCACTTACTTCTTATCGCAAGTACCGGGCCAACATTTGGTCTACAAGCCGGTGTCATCTAAAAGAGCAGACGACAGATGGAACGATCAGGCGGCCGTTTGAACTTGAAGACACACTGACCGTGGTCCGTACAACTTGACGCTTTTCCGGCGTTGCTTTTGAAACAAAATAAATAAATCTGATGGCCAGAAGTATCTGTGAATTCAACCCAAAATGCTTCCCGTCCAAGCAATCGTGGTACGATGGCGTCTGGTTTTCCCTTTTCACAGCACATATCCACGTTCTCAGACGAACCGAGCGCATGAAAATTGACGTTCAAACCTTTCTCGACCCTTTTGGTACAGCCCCAGTCGCGGAATTTTGACAAGAAGGTAGATTTTTGTCTGGTTCCTTTCAGAACAACGCAGGAACACACGTCTCACATGGGGCCTTCCGCCCACAGCCCCAGACCGGAAGTGCGCCCTACGCGCCACCACTGCGCCGTGACGTAACAGAGATGAGTTTGAGTATAACGTTGACGAAAGTGCTTTATGCCAAGCAAGAAAGAATGAAGTGGGAAAAGAAGAGAAATATACGGGACCGCCAAGTGTTCCACCGCTACACGATAGGTGGCACCAGTGCGTCCTCTCGTCGCAAGAGATTTCAAGAGGTTTCAAGGCACTCGGTTCTCAGAAGCCGCAGACGAGAGAAATAGGGCGGTGAAATAGTCGCTCTACTTCGCCACTTTATTTCGATGGTAAGATAGAGAAATAGCGTGGATCCCAACAAAACGTACCAAGCATAAGCAAAGCAAAACAAATATAAGTCCAAAATGCAGAAATTTCATATTTTCCCTTCCCACATACTTCCGGATTGCCCATATAATACTAGGATCCCCGCAAGGAAGTTGCCACGATTGTTGTCCAAAAACCTTGGGCGCTTCAGACAGCTAATTACTACTCAACACGGGAAAGCACCGTATGCAAGGTGTCCTTTAGGCATATTTGTTTTAAAAGGACTGTGAAAGCTACAAGAGTGCAGTCTTTGCAGGTCAAGTTACACACTCAGGGGGGGGGGGGGGGGGGGGGGACATACTATGGGGAGATAATCGTTGCGATAAGGAAGATAACCAAAATTTGTTAAGGAACGTTTTAATTATTGATGATATTGTTTTAATCAGGAACTTGCTGAGCAACATCAAAAGCCACTATATAAGCCATTTTAGAAAGAGTTGGGGCATGTGAGAAACGTGGTGTGCTAAAGTTGTGCTGGCGGTGCCAAGACTCAGCACTAGCCTCGCTTCCCATGTGCCCCAAACCTGGCTAAAATTCAATCGTTTAGTAATTTTTGACAACACTCAGCAAGTTTCTGACTCAAACCATATCTTCAATAATTAAAGTTAATTAACAAACTTTCGTTAATTAACCGACTTATTGCGACGAATTATGCCCCCCGGCCGTATAACTCACCTGCACAAACCGTGTTAGTGTAGCTTTTGCGGCGTTTGTACAAAAATCTGTAAAGCCTCGAAGAAAGCACCGACTGCTGATCCGGAAAAGGTGATCTTCCGGATCCCAGGCGGGCGTTCCAGCTCACCTTGATCATCTCGCTCCGGTGCGCCTCGGGGTCCTTGCCCACCTGTGGCAGCACCCGGATCTTCTGGGTCTTTTGGCTGCGCCCAGCCAGGGACAGGGTCATCTTGCGATGGGTGAAGCTGTCCGTCGAGTGGGGCCTGCACGGGGACACGCCCGGTTGGATCACACTCCCCAGAAGCCCGAGCCAAACGCTCCCCAACGCGTGCACCCAAGCCGAGTCCAGGAGGGGCGCTTGGGCCGTCCGTCGAGAAAGACCGGCGTTCCTCCACGCTCCAGAGTGCAACTTCTCGGTCCCGCCTCTCAAGAGGGAGAAATCTAGCAGTTCCCGCGAAGCAGCCTTGAGGCCTAAAGCCTCGGAAGCCAAGGAGTTTAGGCTACACTCTCCTTCCCTCCTTTGCCAGAGCCTCACCGGTAGTGTCGCAAGTTTGTTCCCGGTTTAGTACCGTTAAAACACCCGGAATTTAATGTTGTCACCTGCCACCTGTACATCACCCCCAGAGGAAGACTGTAGCCCCTATCTTGATGGTAAAGGCTACATCTAATCAAACGAGAACCGCATCCAGCGTTATGCCGCAAGCGCGCACAATCGGCGTGTGGCAGCACAAGAACAGGAAGGGTCGCGAGGCGGAGCGGCGAAGAATGGGGCGGCCAGGGAGCCCCCGGAGGGACGCACCTGAAGCTGAGCTTGGTGCGGAAGACGGCCTGACCCTGCAGGCCGGTGCCCTGGCGGATGAACAGGTGGTTGTGGTCGCCCTGCATCAGCGACTGCTTGTGCACGTCGAAGATCTCCGAGCCCAGGTGCAGCGACATGCTGGGACAATGGAGAACGCCAGCGAGAGGCTAGTAACGACCTGACGGGTCAATCAGAAGCGTGTCGCCACGGCACTCGTTGCCTCTAAGCATTTGCCATTGCTGACCAAACCAATCACATGCAGCAAATACCCTTTTTTCTCTGCCTGTCTGGTCTAGCCTGTGAGAGCATACCCACAAAGACGACGAGCGCCGCGGCACTTTTGGTGCTGCTTGCTCGGCTCCGTCAGATCCTAGCGGCGAACTTGGAGCGAAACGGAGCTTTGAAGCAAACGCAACACCACAGACAATGCCGAGATCCGCAAAAGGCATCCCCTTGAAATCCACCCGTCCACCTACCTCCCGTCCGACCATTTAATGATCCGTGCGTTGCTCTGCCGTACGGGATTGCCCAGCTTGTCGTAGATGTAGCGCCAGCGCACGGTGTTCTCCACCTGTGTGGCGAAAGGAGCACACACCAAGGTTAACTCCGCGCATTTGTACCACCCGAGTTGTGTCGTGGAACATTCCTTTCATCAAGCAAATGTGCGTCGTGGACAGAGTGATACTATTCATAAACACTTTTATGGCCTGGAGCCACGTTGAGTGCTTTGAGGCCCGAATCAATCTAAAAGAAGCGGAAAAATGTGGCTACTCTACCGACAGTTTGTTTTCCTTTCGCATACCGCCGGTCTTCTTTTGGTATTCATTTGTTCCTTTTCAGTGTCCCACAAACAACTTGACAGTTCCCTGGTGGTGCAATTGTGAATTACTACTACTCGACAAAAGAAGGAAAAATAATAACATTTTCAACACCGAGGAAAAAATTTGGAAAATAATAGCATGAACACACTTTTTCTAGACTATCATCAAAAAGACAGAGATTAATAGTTGCCGAAATCTGTTTAAAATAATTATGTAGATGAAAAGTGACTAGTGGACTTTTCTTTCTGTTATGCAGCTTTTGAAGATTATTTCATAATGCATGTTTTATTACAGCCCCATACGATGCCTACAAGCCGTCTCTCGCCTTGGAAGAGGCTTCCAGTCGCTTCGTTTTGGCATGCCCTTTTTTCATAAATATAAACATTTTAACCAAACTTATACCGTAATATCCCGAGTCATCGCCCACCCTCCTACCGCCTGAAATTCATTAAAAAAGTGGGGTGGGCCATGTCTCGGTGGGTGATCACAAACACTTGAAAAAAAGCGGAAAAAACCGCCTATTTTTCTCTGCGTATCTAGCGCTGATGCACAAGAGATACATCAAACTCAAAACTCTATTTAGTTTCGTTGTTTTATAGAAAAAAATGCTCACGAAAGAATATTTTATTATAGCGAAGTCCGTTGCTTGCATACGCGCTAGAAACACCGCCGATCTGCATATAGCGCGAACGTTTGCTCCGTGAAAGAATGTCACCACTATGTTCTCTTAGTTAGTAAAAAAAAAAAAAAAAAAAGTCTACGAGAAAAAAGAAAAACCGACCAGGCGCAACGAGCGAGCGAGCGGGCGGACCAAAGAAGCGACCAAGAGCAATGCTGGGAAAGCGGGAAAGCCGGCGGTCGCGTTGGCAAATACTTTGGCGCCGGGCCGAGTCGGGCGCGTTGTCAATTGCAAGCTCTTGCGCAACTTTCTTGTTTGGTGCGTACATACGTGCGTCCGTGCACGGCGGGCTATCAATGCACGGTTGGGACGCTCCGCAAGCGTCTGTGTAGGGCGTTCCAGCAAAGCTTTATTTACGCGTTGGCTTTGCCTAAAATATTGCACAACCGCGGTCGCGACGGGCGGGAAGAAGGAGCGGGTTCGCGGTGACCTTCGGCGGAGACATTGACCTAACACTCCGCGGTTACATTAACAAACTCTTATTTTGTTATCTCCATCGTTTCCTTTTCGCACGATACACGACCACTTTGGGGTCGCTCACGGAGGAAATGCGTAAACAAAAAGAAGTGTCTTTCCCTCCTTCGTTTTACTTTGTCACGGACGTCCTCCAACTGTAAGGTCCGCTGCCGCGTCATTCGGGTAGGATGAGTGTTCGCGGATCGCTGAGTCCGCGCTGGGGTATTTGAAGGGGTGGGCGATGACTCTGTGTTTTTTCGGAAATCGATATTGGCCCAAAAAACGGGGTGGGCGATGGCTCGGGGATGGGCGATGACTCGGGATATTACGGTATATACCGGGTGTCCCAAGTAGCGGCCAGGCTTTTTAAATTGACCGCAAAATTCGGTTTCTTAACCTATCGCGCTACAATCTTGTGCAGCGTTGCCCACAGATGGTGCATTTTTTTTTGTAAAATTTGCAAAGATAGAACTTACCTGAGGAAAAAGTGAAGAAAGAAAACTTTAAGCCTTTCCACTCTGGTGAAGAAAGACCAGCAAAGCTGTACTATGGTCAGACAACCTCAAGGACGACTTCTTGGACGACCTCAAGGACAACGCCTAAAGACAATATCCAGGACGACCTCAAGGACAATGTCTAGGACGACCTCAAGGACAATGTCTAGGACGACCTCAAGGACGACGCCTAGGACAACCTCGGGGACGACGTATGGGACGACGTCTAGGACTATTTCGAAGACAACGTCTAGGACGACCCCGGGGACGACGTCTAGGACGACTTCAAAGACTATTTCGAAGACAATGTCTAGGACGACCTCAAGAACAAATTCTGGGACGACCTCGAGGATGACGTCTAGAAGGACCTCGAGAATGACTTCTAGGAGAACCTCGAGGACAACCTCGAGGACGACCTCAAGGGCAACTTTTAGGATGACCTCGAGGACAACCTTTCGGAGAGCCTCAAAGACGACCTGAAGGACGACGTTTAGGACGACCTCAATGATGACTTCTAGGACGAATTCGAGGACGACATCTAGGACGACGCCTAGAGAAATTCAGCCTTTTCACTCTGGTGAAAACCAGAGTGGAAAGGCTGGAAAGGTTGTCGCCATCTATAAGCAGGGCTGGCAAGCCGATTGTCTGGTTGCCGCCGTCGCTCACAGATGGCGGTAACTGTCCAAAGTTTTGTGTCAACATTTCTTTGCGGGGGACACGATCCTGGGGAAACAGCCCGTTACAGCTCCGCTGTAAAAAAGGCTAAGCTCCTCTGGAAACGCAGCGAAGCCACCGGTCTTCAAACAATACGGCGCCGTTTCTCATGGGAGACAAGAGATGGCGCAAGCGGTCGTGACGCCAACTACCGCCAACGAACGAGCATACTGCGCCGAGAGCCGGCGTCTTTAGCAGACAATCGTTTTGACTCAAAAGCGGCGTGCGTTCGGCAGGCGGCGACAGTCACAGAGACAAAAACAGGCGCGCTGACAACAAGGAACTGCAAAGCAGACTACATAATTACCACGAAAAAAACAGTTAAAATAACCCGACAAACCATGTTTTTAATTGATTATGTGTCCATTCAATGTGTTCTATTAGTAAGGATGATAAAATAATGCATTGGCAACTGATATCAAAAAAGCTTGCACCGCTTTTGAGTTGAAAACATTGTCTGCTAAAGACGCCGGCTATCGACGCCGTGTGCTCGTTCGTTGGCGGCAGTTGGCGTCGCGACCACTAGCGCCATCTCTTGTCTCCCGTGCGAAACGGCGCCGTATTGTTTGAAGCAATTATTACTAGATTCTCTTCTGTTCTCAAACTATGGAGCTCCGCCTGACGCCTATCTGTTGCGCTCCGCTTGGGGGTGCGCGCGAAGGAGGTTGCCCGGCAAGGTGCGAAACCCCACGGCCGACCCGGCATAGCAACACGTGAAACACGTTGCAAGCAGTGTGCGGCAGTGTTTCCGTTTGGTTACGTTTGTGCTCGTAGCCGCGTGTGTGGTGTTTGTGCATCCTGCTGCAACTGCATCAACCATGCCACGCTCTTTCGTACCACGGTGTAAAAGCGGGTACGCCTCTGTGCGATCTGCGGGACAGAAGAGACATTTTTTCAAGCCACCCAGCGACGCTGAACGCCTTGAACTCTGGTCAAAAAGTTTTCGAGCTCGTCTTCCATTTGCGATCTTCACTTCCACGATGATGACATCTAGAAGGTCTTCGAGCACAACGTTTGTGGTGATGTGGTAGCGGTACCGTGCGACAAATGGGCACTGAAGCACGACGCCGGGCCTCGCCTGTTCCCGAATTGTCCCAAGTATCTTTTTAAACCGACACAAAAACGCAAAGCACCTACTCGCAGACTGTCCCCGGCAAAAAGAAAGCGTTGAAAAGAACAAGGTGAGCGGTCGACTGCAGCAGTTCAAGGCAAACCGAATGCTCTACTTGTTAGTGTGGAGGACACATCGAAGACCTCTGGAGAGGCTCGTCGATCAAACAGAGCTAGCTTGAGCAATGAGAATAAGGCTAGGCTACTGGAAATGAAATTTCCATGTGTTACTCCTGACCAAATGAGTGATGAGCACAGCTACTTCAGAGGTTCACCAGACGACAGTGTTGCGTATTACCTATCTGGGTATGTTGTAAACAAAGTGAGCAAGCGCACAGAGTGCCAGTTGTGCCTGCATGACATTAGTTCAGCAGCTCCTGTCGTCGGTTCTGACGCATACTTGACCATTTGTCGGAGCTTCAAAGAAGGCAGCCTGAAGCACCCCAGCATCAAGGCGTGCTGGGGTGCTTCAGAGTTGTATATGAATCAGTTTCAACTTCTCTTGATGAGGAAGGTCTGTGTGGGGACTTGTTTTGGAAGGTCCTGAACGAGCTGGATGAGTGCAATCTAACGCGGCTGGGTTGTGATCAGCACAAGCCTACGTTCATGTGCCAAGTGTTGTATTTTTTCATTGTCACGCGGATGCATTTTTACGCTAGGGATGTCAACCACTGCCTTTGAATTCTCGAGAAAGTCGCCATTGCCAGCAAAAAAGCTCGTCTATAATGAAACCGTGTTCAACAATTGCATTGTGTGTGCATCTTTGTGCCTTGCACTAAGTGCTTTTCGTGCCACCGAGAGAATAAAGTTTCTTCGCTTTGCTTATTTTTCGTTTTCAGTAACGAGTGTGCGCAAAGAGCGCCGGTGATACTTTCCGGGCAGCTTCGCCACTGCTGCTTTCTCCTGTTCATTCCGCTCATTTAGAGCCTCTCCCCAACGTCTGAAGAGGTCCCTAATGACTAAAAATCGGAGGCGCATTGCATGACACAATTTCAAGGCAAAGAATGCTATAATTTTAGACAAACCCCCGATATTGAGTAAAAGACGAAGGACAACGGTGTGACACATCGAGTGTCACACAGAGTTGAGACTCTGTGTTGTGTTGTCCTTTGTCCTTTCCCCAGTCTCGGAGGCAGGGGCGGATGCAGAAATTTCCTGAGGGGGGGGGGGTCAGGTGTTGGTCAGCGTACCATATGTTTAGGAACCCCCTCTCCCTCGTTTCACGCCCTAAATTTTACACATGCACAAATCAAGAGGGGGATCAGGACATCCGGACCCCCCTTCTAAATCTGCCCCTGCTCAGAGGTTTGTCTAAAATTATGTTAAACCTTCACCAGCCCGCTTGCCCCCTAACTTTTTCGTAAATAATTCTATTTGCTGCACAAACCGCCAGCGTGTCGCGCTACGAAGCGCAGGGCACCGGGCTAACGGTGGCCGCCGCGCCATCTGGCGAGCGGAAATGAAAATGGGCCACGCATCGACAACCGCCGCCGGGGGAGTTTGACAACTGAATTGATCTAGTAACGTTGGTTTGAAGACCGGTGGCTTCGCTGCGTTTCCATAGGAGCTAAGCCTTTTTCTTTCTTTACTTTTTCTTCAGGTAAATTCACTCTTTACAAATTTTACAAAAAAAAATGCACCATCTGTGGGCAACGCTGCACAAAGTCGTAGCGCGATAGGTTAAGAAACCGAATTTTCCGGTCGATTTAAAGAGCCTGGCCGCTACTTGAGAAACCTGGCAGTTGCATTCTACATAATCTACAGTACATGCATGCCAAATTTGGTTGTGGTAGGAAGATATCAAGAACAAAAATTCTTGTGCACAAACTGTGAGGATGCTTCAAAATTACATAAAAAAGAAAAACGCGTCTGAATGTTACCATAAATGAGTAGTGATATTTTTTCGCGAAGAGAAAAGGAATATCTCATTAATAATTTTCCACGAGAAATTAAAGTTAGAATGCTGCGATGGAAAGGAGACGGCTAGGCCCAATTGTCAACGTAAATGTGATAATGGGAGACACCACGATTTGAAAAACCACGCACCAAAAAACGGCTCAAATTTATGCCGTTCTGCATTACCGGAAAGTCTTCAAATACACATTTGACAAATTTTGCAATTACAACCGTTACTTTTTTTTTTTTGGACATGCAATATGAAGATTTAAAAGATAATAAAACACCATAAAACCCAAAATGTTTTGTAAAATATTTCCGTTTTTCGATCCGCATGTCCCCTTAAAGGGCAACTCTGGCCAAAACTCAAAATGAATTAAATTACTGGTATCGCTTTAGTGACACAAAATACGACCCCAGCCAAAATATTACGGCCGTGGGACGCCGCATTCTCAACTAATGCCGATAATAAAAATGCGACCCGCCGCGAGCCGCTGCTCCTTAGCGGGCGGGCAGCGGGTTGCCGATTGCTCAAGCAACATTGGACCGTGACGTCATAGTCATTCTTTTTTTTTTTTTTCAGTTCCGGGTGGGCGCGCGGCGCACCTGTTTCGCGCGTTTTTTTGTGCCGCTACCACCGCTACTTCGGCTTGTGATTACGTTGCTTTTATCTGTAGCCCGTGTAGCTTCGGTATAGCCTTTTGTTTATTTGCTTGTGAGGACTCCAAAACTCGTTTTAGCGAGCAACTCAGTGCGCCCAAGACTGCCCAGCTCTTCCTCGAAAGATGCCGAGTACAACTTGTAGCGCCGTGGGCTGCTCAAACAAGCCGCTGCGCAACCCGGAGGTGCTTTTTCACAAGTTTCCAACGGATCGGAAATTGGAGAAGCTGTGGGTGAACGCTGTTCGACGAGTGGACTTTGGAAAGCCTTGGACACCGACCCCCAGATCGAAGCTCTGCTCCGATCATTTTTCGCCGGAGAGTTACGAACGAAACCTACGGGTGTTGGTTGCTGGTGGCTTATAATGAAAAGGAAAACAGAATGTTCTGCTTTGTGCCACTGCTTGTTTACTACGCTATCTCGTGAGTAATACAAAGGTCCGTAACGACTACTAGCGAACAGCCGGCGCGTGAAGCTTATGCGGTATAAACATTCGCCTTCCAATCGTTCGAACCCTTTACGCAGCAGTATTAATTAACACTGGGCTTGTGGATACCACAAAGGACTTTCAAAAAATCCCGAAAGTTCGGATTTGTAAGTTACAACTCTAATTTACCCGAGTTCGGCTGGAGGTAAATATAATATTTAAAAATGCAAAAAAAAAAAAAAAAAAAAAAAAAAAACACTTGCTTTAGTCAAAAAGTTACGAAGGAAAACTTTAAGATCCTACGTATTCCAATAAAAAAAATTGTTATTGCAGGGGGGGGGGGGGGGAATGTGGAAGGGAAAGAAGGTGTTCTCACCTTGCTAACGTTCTCTGTTTTCCTCTATCACCCACAAAAACTTTTGCTAGCTTTGAGAAGAAAATGACTGCCCAAAAAACTTCCTTTTCTTTTTTTAGTGCGGCAAGTTATTTTATTTTTACAAATTAGATTCACTACCTAGCAGTGGCGTCATGAGGGTCAGCGGCACCCGAAGCCGCCGCAACCCCCCCCTCCCCTCCCCTCCCCTCCCTCCCCCCCCCCCCCCCGCCCTCGCGTGGCCTGCCGTGGCCTGCCGCGACCCCCCCCCCTCCCCCCCCCTCCACCCGTACACCCCTCCCCTCCCCCCCCCCTTGTGACGCCACTGCTACCTAGACGAACTTACGTGGTGAATTAGTGTCATAGCTTAAAAATTCAGCTTTTACGCGCCTGAGGAAAAAAGAACGAAAAAACAGACGTCTACAGCTTAGCACACGTCTGTTCAAGCGTCGCGGCCCGCGCCGGAGAGCGTCAAAGTCTTGTGTCTGGGACTGACCCGCAGCGCGAAAGCAAGAGGGCCCCCTGTACTGTACGTCACTGGCAGCGCGGCGTAGATCAACGCCGCTCCTTCCACGGACTCCCGATGACAATTTAGGCTTAGCGACGAATACGTGAGATACGTGAGACCGCACGCACGCCGATAGCTGTCGAGTACGCACCGAACGAGCTCACTCGTTTTCCAGTCGCTAGCTTTTGGGTATACAAGCGACGAATACGGCACGGCATAGCGCACGCACGGCGGCAGCCGCCGAGCACGGCACCGAACGAGTTGACGGGTGTTCCAGTCGCTAGCTTTTGGGTATACTCACTAGCTCTTGCTACATGTGCTGGATAACTACCACGTATGCAGAATTAAAACAAAATCAGCTTACCTTCTATTTTTAGACGGCTAGCGCAACAGAGGTTGCCGTAGGTGTCGCTTGGCCTGTGTGCTCGTTGAACGAGAACGACCATGACGTCACGTCCACATAGCGACTGATTTCCAATGTTGCCGGAACCTCGAGCGGCTAGTTTCGGTTTTGTCGGCCGCGCCCTAAACACAACTTTGAGACGTCGATATCTTTAAAACTACGCACAATAACGAGAAAAAAATTACACCTTTCAATTCAGGGACGCTGACTGCACTAAAAACAGTCATAATCCCAAAATCGAAAGTAAGGACCGGAGTTGCCCTTTAAAGAAAAAAACATCCTTGCCATGTGCCCCCTAAAAAAAAAAAAAAAAAAAAAAAAAGAGGCATTGTTTAAAGTTAACCGATGTTAGCAGAATAGCATATTTCATAATGCCTAGTGCAGCAGCAAACAAGGCACACATTTGAGAACTGGCGTTTTGCTCGGGGCTGCTAAATCTAGCTGAATTAGAGCATCCCCGACACCCGAACCCACACAAATGAGGCGAGCTCGACCATTTCGCGGCGTTCCCAAGTACTATAATGCGTCGCTGCACACAAGTGACGTGAGCAGGCAGACAAACGGTGGGTGACCGGCGGATGTGAGGGCGTACCTTCAGCTTGAGCCGTGCCCGTCCTTCCTCGTCCAAGACCTCGTCTTCGTCCACTTCGTCCTCGTACCACTGCGGGTCGTACGGCCTGGGGAGGGCACGCGGAGTCAAGGCGGGGCCAGGGATTGGCCCCAACCCGGACCAATGTTTAGGTACAGTGGCTTAAAGGGGGTAGTGTAGTTACCGCGTATTCTCCACCGTGCATTGTGAACGGCCACTTCTTGGAAGACGATGTAGGTGGCGCTTCGATCCGCAGCTCCGTTGGGTGCCTCCATCGGCCGGCACATAGAGGCACCCTAACACGCTTCGTAACTAATATAAATACCTCAAAAACAACTATTTGTTTCCAGTAAACTTCCAACGACATGATTTGTGTTCGTAGGTGAATAAAAATGTGAAACTAGCAGACGACGGTTTAGTCGACAACTGCGAATCTGCCGGAGGTGGCCGGAGCCAAGCTGGCCAAGCGGCCAAGCCGGAGCCATAACCGGAACGACGGTGCTGCAAGCGCCAGCGCCACCCGCGGCCGTCTTTTAACGCTGTGCCGCTTCTCCGGTTTCGTTCGTTACACTACCCCCTTTAAGCCACTGTAGTTTAGGCAACAGAGTCGCTGGGCGGAGCTGTCGCCAGAAAGACAGCAGCAGTCGTTCGTCCACACCACCGTCGCACGACTCGAGAATTTCGCAGGTCCGTTTACCCGACGTTCGGCGCACCGAATGGGCACTTAACGGAAGAATATACTTTTTGCTCTTTTAATTGGACTAGGCCAGCAAAATCGTTATTTTGTTTCACTACCCTCAGGGCCTCGGCGCCCTGAGGGGAGGGGCAAAGGGGAGGGGCAAAAACAAAAACCAGCAATATATAGGATAAGGGCAACACTACTACAAAAGTGGAGTGAAAACATTTAAACATTCGAGGCTTACACCAACAAGTATGGTTGGCTATGGCACCTCTGAATGAATCGATCAATGGTACTGACACAAGGTGGTTCCATTCGGACAAAGTTCTTGGTATAGAAGCGTTGATGTGGGCAGTGGCATGACAGCGCTGAACTCGGATTTCGAACGGTCAATGATTAATAGTACAGCCTGGGCAATCGAGGCACGTGATGCTCATTAAAGCGCGAAACACATGTACGACGAAACCGTCCGATCCGACGTCCGACCGCGCAATACGACGGTCGGAGGCGAGGGTTTTCAACGCTCTCCGATGCTACGAAAACCCTCTCCCCCCAAGGTCATTCCCGCAGTCTGCACGTCGGATCGGAAGGTTTCGTCGTACATGTGTTTCGCGCTTAATACTGGGCAGGCGAGGTACATGTACATTTTGCTGTAATGCTATTACCCACTGGTTTGGCACAATGATGGAAGTCCATATTTGAGAGGAGACCAGGGTTCTAAAAAAACGCAAAACATTCCCAAATTGTGCATTTTTTCTAGTTTTGAAGTCTCCACAAAATAAAAGAGCTGATTTCAGTTTCTAACTTTTCAGAAAATAGCAGGTTATAAGTGATGAAGAGCTGAATCCAAACATGCAAGAAACTTCAAAAGTAACTTTTCCAGCTTCATTTAATAAATTAACGCGTATACTCCGTTTCACTTAAGTCAGGACGCAGCTGACGCTACAAGCTAATAAAACCGGTCATACCGCATCAAAAGTGCACCAACATATGTCTTTGTCATGTTTCTGTACGTGCATTATCATCGCTGAACCAATCGTGTACGAGGAAGGCCCAGTGAGTTGCGCCTTTGATGCTGTTGGATTGGTCCCATCAGCTCGTGGCGGCGGCCGCGTCCGGACTCAAGCTGAAACCAAGCACAGCAGACGGCTGGTGTGGCATGTTTGTGGCGCTGCATTCGGTGCACGGGCACGCGTTTCCCGCGGAGCGTGGACCCTGCTGCCGGCGCTATCTACAGCACATTTGGTCAACCCAGTACGTCTTATAGTTTGTTGGCCATTTTAATAATCATTCCTATTCGTAACTCCAACGCTTTATAGGTGGCGGGGCGGTAGTTCCAAGATGGCGGAAGAGACTGGGATAGATTCTCTAGGATATCCCGTGCGTCTGCTCGCTGACGCTGTTCAGTGCGTTAAAAAAGATTTATTTGTCTAAAAATGCGAAGCGGTTAGGAAGTACAAAACGAGCGTGTTAGTAACGGTAATTAGAAGTGAGGAAGATACATGTATCTATGTATCTTCCTCATGTCTAATTACGGTTAGGAAGGGATCATATAACAGGTGACGGAGTTGCTGATGCACGTTAGAAAAACGAGCGTGCAGTTATTTAGAAGTTGCAGAAACCTCAAATTATGAAGCTTTATGGTGAGCGAGCGCGTTTTAGGCACCGGCCACGTTACTGTTTGTGGCAGAATATTTTTTGAAGGTGATGAAGATGTGTTTGCGCTTTGCCTGGCCGTTAGTGCTCTAAAAAGAGAGCCGCGAACGGTGACCGTCAAGCTTCGGAAGAGCAGCAATGCACAGTATTGGTGTCTTCGCGTCACAGCCTGTCAAAACGCTGCTCACCGTCTCAGTCTTAGTGTATTGCAACACGTAATCAAACTGCTCTATGGTTATTGATAGAAAGCTTGTTACCGCAGGTTACCGTGTGGTGTAGCATTACAACCGCAAGCTCACGCTGCGCCTTTGAAGCACAATTTTCAGTGCGCGCCAGGAGAGTTGCCGTGCTCATCATTATAAAAAAAAATGTCATAGTCCTTACACCCCTTGTTACATATACGACACTCCAAAACTTCAGTTCGCTGTGCAGCCCACTGACGTCAAACTGACGGCCCCAACGTTTACGAGAGGCTTGATGACGGCGCAATATGAGATATTAAACAGCTAAAGTATGCAGCAAAGAGTACAGAAAAAACAAACAAAAAGACACCCTAGGTTTTGCAGTAAGGCCAAGAAAACCCCGATTAATTTTTTTTACACTCATTTACACTAACTTAAGCTATTTGAATAAGTTGTACAATTCGGCTACCAAGCCGCTCGTGAAAGCTGGTAGCACCAGTTGAACGTCAGTGCGCTGTACGTCCAACTAGAGTTTAAGGGTGTTGTACGCTATGCAAAAACTGCCTATTAACATAATCGGCGTGTTTAGAAGTTTTAATTATTGCTCTATCAGAAATAAATATTTTAATATACCGTACATTTTTCGTACCACATTGCGCTCCCTCTGGCCAAAACTGCCCGTTCTAAGCTCTCGTCCCAAACGGCTGGCTAACACAGACGCGCTTAAAATGCTTCGAGAATTTCTTTATTTGCTTTGTAATTTCCTGAAAGGAAGTATGGGCATTCTGTCTTTTTAAAGTGCTTGGAATTAATGGTCATGTTCCTTTTAACCACCTTAAAAGGCGAACCCAATCGAGATTTGTATTGCTCGACATGGACTTTCAGTAGACTGTATTATGGAGTTCTTCATTATTAGCGGGAGCTTTTTCCGTCACGTTGAGCACATATTGAGCTGGCGGCCATACACAAGACCAGAAATCCGAAGCGTATGCGATACACGAAAAGTCCCTAATTAAATTGGAAATCGCGGTCCTTCGTGCAAGGCTGTTGCAAGGCGGAGCACAAGAATTCATTTTTTAACGCGCTCACTTTTTTCGTTAAAACTGCTTCACGCATCAAGGCCGACCGTCCCTGCCACCATTTCCGCGCCGCCGTCGCCGCTGCCGTCCCTGCTCCTCTGGTTCTCCGTTTGTCCGTGGGAGGGCGAGCGGCGCGCTGGAGTTGCGAATAGCAATAATTAACTGGTGGGCCTTCTAGGCCACCGGTTCTTGAGCTGGGCTCCCTTCCCCAGAATACCCTCCAGGGCCCCCCAGCTCACAAGTTTTCTCGACCGATCCCGTCGCGAAGTACGGAAATCTTCCAATCTCAGCACCGCTTTAAAAAATCCGAGCCACTCGTCAAATCGCAACAATGTGGCTAACACTTCCTAGCATGGGCATTACTGTCTACCATGTCTGTAGGCTTATACGCCGCATTATTAGGTTAATTCCGAGTCCAGAGCAGGTTCCTTGGCTCTCGGTTGACAGGTACTTGTTTCTTGAGGTAAAAAGGTTTGAAAAGCCCCGCTTTAGGCGATGCTCAAGATGAGTGCATTGTTTTCCCAATACCAAAAAACGAGCAGAGCTTCCCTTCTGTCCACAAAAAATCCTGAAACGCCACTGCCGGGACAGAGGACGACAAGAACCGCGTGAAGGAACCTGGTCACCCGCAAGCCCCCTCACCGTGTGTCGACACTCAGGAAGTTTGGCAGCTTGACAAAGTGCACCTCGCTGCCCAGGTTGGTCACGATGCGGGGAATCTCCACGTCAATGCGCGTCTCTGGCACCGGCACCTCCTCCTCCTCCTCTTCACCCTACGCAGGGGGAGAGAGGTTACGTCACGTGGCAAATTTAGCGGGAAAATTATACGTGCTCCGTCTCCAACTTTACATCTGTGACATTACACGTATCCTTAAAGGGGGGGTGCTACAATTCTCGGACTTTGGCCAATTAACCGAGAGGAATAATATCTGTGTCACCTATAAAACGAAGAACAGAAAACCATATTTTCTTGCGAGCGCTAGTTTTTATTTTAAAAAATGAAACAAATCGAAGGTCAAAGTGCTTCTCAACTCTCACGTCGTCTTTCGAGCAACGTACTCTGGGGACCACCTGATTTCCCGGTGGGTTCTCCCCCCCACATCCCCCCGCCGCCTCCTACGCGATTGACGAATTTTTACAAATTAGCATCGCTGAAAGTTGCGGCGAGCAATCGGCACAAAGGAGGGCTCGCCACTGGGCAGACGGCGAGTGTAGCAGCAGAGGGGGACAGGTTTTGGTGACTTCCACGCGTCCCCCAGAGACGTATCACCGTAGTCCCCATAACCGCCACACGTGGCTGGAGATGGGCAAACAATGCGCTTTTCTTTTGCAATTATGCGGCGGAATAGCAGTTTTTTGGGGCAAGGCGGTGAATTTTTTGTGACTTGTGTCTCGAGAAACAATATAAAAAAAATATAAACTGCAAAAAACGTCGAAATGCGGCCTTGCAGGGCAACCCACCCGTGGAGCGTCCTCCGCGTCCTTGCGTGCCCCGTCCTCTTCTTCGTCGTCGCCCATCCTGCGTACGCGGTCGGTGCCGTCCTCCTCCTCTTTCTGCTCCGCTTCGTGGTCCGAGTCGTCGTCGTCCAGAACGCGGGCCGCCCGCTTCCGGGGGCTGCCCTCCTCGTCCGAGCTGAGGTCCCCCAGGTCCTCGCCAAACAGGGCTTCCACGTCCGGCCCACCCTCTTCGTCCTCCTCCCCGCCGGAGACGCGAGCCTTCTTGCGGCCGCTCGCCTCCTCCGCGTCAGACCCTGAACGGAGCGGCGGAAAGAGGGCAGGCACTTGACTGGGAGAAGTTTTCTACCCAGTTTGTTCACATTAGATGGCGCCAAATCCCCCCGGGCTGGTTTAGAAACGCTGCGTCCAAAATGCGCCGTCACCGTCGAGAAAGAGAGCTGCCACCGACGTACCGAGTTGCCAGAGAAGGTTGTCTCCACGGTTTCCACGACAATATATGGTGGCAGCCACCCCTCCCAATTCAAAGGGGAAAACCCAGAGGCGTCGAGCCGTCACAAGTATGTAAAAGCTGTCGGTACCTCTCTAGTAAAGTTGTTTCAGAGTGTGCGTCTCTCTACCTCGTGGTGGACAAAGAAAGGCAGCTCGATTTCAACGAGGAAGGAAACCATGTCGCCAAAGTTTGTGCTGCAAAATGGTTGCCCTCCGACCCCCCAAAAAATCCTCGATGAACACGCCACTGCTTCGTCGGCAAAGGTGATGCGAGGAGTCGTGCACTAAGCAGCACGCTGTTTTTGCTGCCTCAGCTCCGGAAGAGGCTGAGGCACCAAACAGCTACCGTGTAAAAATGGTTTTACAGCGGTAGCTGTTACAGGCCCGTCTCCCCCGGTTTCGCGACGGCATGAGTGTAAACAAAAAGTTTCCTCGCTAAATTTGGCAGAAAAACCTATGCACCAGATCACTTTCCCCGCTAAATTTAGCAGAACAAATTTAGGCCACAACACCTATCCACCAGTTCAGTTTCCCTGCTAAATATGGCGGAAAATTTAACGTCATGTGCCCTGACGTCACGGGAACTACAGACGAATTCATGTTCCACGCTAAATTCAGCAGAAAAATGTCATGTGACCTAAAAATTTACTTCACGTGACCCTGCACCATTCAGTTTCTCCGTTAAATTTGGTGGGAAAATTGATTGCACGGGACCTACAGACAAATTCAGGTTCTCCGCTAAATTTAGAGGAAAGATTGACGTCACGTGACCTATGCAATAATTCAGTTTCCCTGCTAAATTTGGCGGGAAAATTGATTGCACGGGACCTACAGACAAATTCAGGTTCCCCGGTAAATTTAGAGGAAAGATTGACGTCACGTGGCCTATGCAATAATTCAGTTTCCCCACTAAATTTGGCGGGAAAATTGATTGCACGGGACCTACAGACAAATTCAGGTTCCCCGCTAAATTTAGAGGAAAGATTGACGTCACGTGACCTATGCAATAATTCAGTTTCCTCGCTAAATTTGGTGGGAAAATTGATTGCACGGGACCTACAGACAAATTCAGGTTCCCCGCTAAATTTAGAGGAAAGATTGACGTCACGTGACCTATGCAATAATTCAGTTTCCCCGCTAAATTTGGTGGGAAAATTGATTGCACGGGACCTACAGACAAATTCAGGTTCCCCGCTAAATTTAGAGGAAAGATTGACGTCACGTGACCTATGCAATAATTCAGTTTCCCCGCTAAATTTGGCGGGAGAATTGATTGCACGGGACCTACAGACAAATTCAGGTTCCCCGCTAAATTTAGAGGAAAGATTGACGTCACGTGACCTATGCAATAATTCAGTTTCCCCGCTAAATTTGGTGGGAAAATTGATTGCACGAGACCTACAGACAAATTCAGGTTCCCCGCTAAATTTAGAGGAAAGATTGACGTCACGTGACCTATGCAATAATTCAGTTTCCCCGCTAAATTTGGTGGAAAAATTGATTGCACGGGACCTACAGACAAATTCAGGTTCCCCGCTAAATTTAGAGGAAAGATTGACGTCACGTGACCTATGCAAGAATTCAGTTTCCCCGCTAAATTTGGCGGGAAAATTGATTGCACGAGACCTACAGACAAATTCAGGTTCCCCGCTAAATTTAGAGGAAAGATTGACATCACGTGACCTATGCAATAATTCAGTTTCCCCGCTAAATTTGGTGGGAAAATTGATTGCACGGGACCTACAGACAAATTCAGGTTCCCCGCTAAATTTAGAGGAAAGATTGATGTCACGTGACCTATGCAATAATTCAGTTTCCCCGCTAAATTTGGTGGGAAAATTGATTGCACGGGACCTACAGACAAATTAAGGTTCCCCGCTAAATTTAGAGGAAAGATTGACGTCACGTGACCTATGCAATAATTCAGTTTCCCCGCTAAATTTGGCGGGAAAATTGACGTTGCGTGACCTAGTCACCAATTCAGTTTCCCCGCTAAATTTGGCAAGAAAGTTGATGTCACATGACTTTCCGTCACGGGACCTACAGACAAATTCAGGTTCCCCGCTAAATTTAGCGAAAAGATTGACGTCACATGACCTATGCACCAATTCAGTTTCCCCGCTAAATTTGGTGGGAAAATTGATGTCACGTCACCTTACGTACGGGACCTGCAGACAAATTCATGTTTCCAGCTAAATTTAGCGGAAAAAATATATGTCACGTGACCAAGGCATCAATTCAGTTTCCCCTCTAAATCCAGCACAAACAATGACGTTACGTGACCTATGCACCAATTCAGTTTCCCCGCTAAATTTGGCGGGAAAATTGATGTGACGTGACCTTACGTCACAGGATCTCCAGACGAAATCAGGTTCCCCGCTAAATTTAGAGGAAAACTTGACGTCACATGACCTAAACACCAATTCAGTTTCCCTGCTAAATTCGGCAGATAAGTTGACGTCACGTGACCTATGCATTAATTCAGTTTCCCCGCTATATTTGGCGGAAAAATTTGCCGCATGATTGTCCCCCAGTTTTTTTTCCGTAAAGTGCTGATTAAAGTCTCCCAAGAAAAATATAGGCAATTATGACGAGAACGCCATTTCGTACAACGGGGTATTTCGCAAATTCGACGACAGGCCAGATTGTAACAAACATTTTTATACCACCTGCATAACATTTATTTTCACTCTGAAATAAATGTACAAGAAAGGTCCGCAATTTATGAACGAGAGTTTGCTCTTTATTCGCTAAAAGCAAACTAGCAAAGCGCCGAGAGCATCTAGGCTCGAGCTTTGTGGCTAATGAAAATTGTGAAAAAAGGCGCTCTTTCGAGCAAAGATGAACATTGAATTCGCTGCACATCATTACAGTCTGTCCTTTACAGCGTAGTGCACGTGCGGACATCTTTGTCAGAGATGCGCCTAGTAGGCCCGCAAAGTTCCTCTATTTTGAGCCGAGATTAGGGAGAGCTCGAGGATCGCCCCAGTATAACTCACATTCCATTGAAATTCATTTACGAGCTAACGGGAGGTTTTTTTCGAAGTCGCTCAACATGTGACACGCACGTCACCAAATGCCAAATGTCACGACAAAAAGAGCGCAGCAATTTCCTTTGCGAGGGAGCTACAAATTTACGTGTGTGGAGCTCAGAAAGTTAGCTAGGACAACAGACACTTTAGAAAGAATTTGGAAACAACGTCTCGTCTTTTGTTTCACCGACATAACGGCTGAAAATTGGCAGACTATGTGTTCAGTAAGGCTGTCTGCTGGCAAAAGTAGATTCTGGCACAAAGTATGCTATGCTGCCAACATAGAGAGCGAGGCATCTATGGTGCTTGAGGGCATATGTTGCAATATTGTGACAGTTGCATCGATCACTTAAATGGAGACAACGGTTCATGGAAAGCAGATCCCTGGTACGTTACAAATGTACAACAGTTGTCCAAGAAAGGCCTCTCTCACGGGGACTCAATAATCCATGGGGGTCCGTAAATAGACGGTGTCATCATTCGAACCACCAGTCATAATCGGGGAGATGACACCTCAATGTGCAGTGCCTAGAGCCACTGCACGTACCTGCTTTCTGTTTACAAACAAGAGCGTGTTTGCTTACGCAAGCTGTGGGCACTGCGCATGCGCAGAAACCAGCTTTGCGAGAGGAGGCATCTGCGCGTGCATCGAGCCGTCGGCAACGTTGCGGTCTGACGTGGAGGTTCGCGTCGGTCTATACGCTTCCAAAGTAAGCAGAGCAAAGCAAACTTGAGCACCACCAATTCTGTGTGGATCCACGCAGAATTGGAAAAAAAAAAACCCATCCTACTCGCTTCTTGAACAATATACGACATGAAAACCATTTTTAATATCACATACACACTCCAGGTTACTCGAAAAATGTGCAAAACGTCCAATTTGCTTCGACCAATCGAGACCGTTCCTTTCCAACAGCTTGCGGGTCGTCCGCGACGTTGGGTTCAGATTTCGAAACGTCCATTCTTCCGATGTCTAGCGTCCAGCCGGAACTTAGCGTGTTGACCACCCCAACGATTCGCTCCGTCAACAAGGTGCGCAACTTAGACGGTTGCATTACACTGCCCCCTTGGGGTCACGTGCGGCAGCACTATGGTCGCCAACAGAACTCCGGGGAGCAGTTTCAGTCGTCCCGCCTCCCGCACGAACTCCGATAACGCATTCCGTGAGTGACGAGCATGCACGTGTAGCCAAAGCACAAAGAAAGGCAGCAAGTGCACGCTAGGCCTTTTGAAAGAGATGCTGCTCTCACCCCGTCGGTGCTTAGTGGCGCAAGTGGCCCCGAGGGAAGAAAACTCACCTTCGGACGGGGCCTCGCTGCCTTCGGACCTGCTCCTCTTGCGGGACGCCTGGCCCTCAGAGGCCTGGCCCTCAGAAGCCTGGCCCTCAGAAGCCTGGCCCTCGGATGCCTGGCCCTCGGATGCCTGGCCCTCGGATGCCTGGCCCTCGGACTCCGAACCAGATCCTGCGCGGGGTTTTGGGCCAGCCTCGCTCAACGCTCAAACAAACGGGGAAAAAACGTGGATGCCAACTATGATGAGGGCAGAAAGAATGAGCGACGTCTTGGCAGATCAAACAGAACCCCGGGGGAAGAAAAAACCTTCCCTGCCTTGGATGCTTAGCATGATTCAGGTTCAACTGCTGTCGCCAAATACCGGCCAGCTCTGAGTAAAGGTTCGGGGATGTCCTCATGAAAGCACTGCCTAGGTGCATGGTGACAGAATGTCCACTTGCCCACATGCTGGTTCACTCTGCTTCCGGCAAAGTGTGACACTGCTGTTGCTAAATCACAACCGACGAAATAATAAAAATATGAAAACAGATAGAAGCAACACGAATCTATTACTACAAGCAATGGCGTCACGGATGCAGCTTTTCTGGAAGTCGGTTAGCTTTTAGACCCGAGAACTGAAATAGACTTAAACAACTTAAGCACATTTTTTGCAGTTGTCCTAGGAAAACGGGTGAGCTTATTTTTACCCGTTTTGAGATGAGCATAAAATCTGAAAAAAGGCTGGCCCAACCAAAGACTAAATTTGACGTTTTATGTGCCAAACCAACAACGGGCATTAGGCACGCCCCAGCAAAGGACCGAGGATTAATTTCAACCACCTGGAGATCTTTTGACGTCCAACCGAAAGCTCGGTTACCTGTCTCCTTCTACGCAATGAGTCTCCGTCAGATTGCGGGCACCTCGACCAGGATTCGAACCCTCCACCTGGGAATCTATGGGCTGGTGCTTTGCCTCGAAGCCACCGAGGAGGCTCAACCCCGACTGTACATTGTTTCACCTCAACAAGAGCAATGGGTGCAGGATTTGGTTGCAAGCACATATTTAAGAAAACAAGCTAGCTGGTTGAATGCTAGCAAAAAATATTGCCCTCTGTAGCGCATGCTCCCAGGAAGACAGACAAGACACCCTTTCCAGAAATGTGCCGGTTACTGGAGGATCTCGAGCATGGTAGTCACAAAGGAAACTGTCAGGCTTGCCAGTTCACAAATAGTACAAATTCCACTTAACTGAATCTGCATGTAATTTCGAGACTTGCAAGCTGCACAGTGTCAGAAGTTCTGCAGTGATGCAGGGCTTATCAGTGAGCACTCAACTTTTGAGAGAAGGGAATAAAAGATCAAAAGCAAAAGGTTCTGGGAGGCAGGGCGTTTTCCGAGAAAGGAACAGCAGAGACAGAGGAGAGGAAACTCCTGGGACCAATTGGCAAGCTTGTGATGCCATGCTACAATGGAAAAAATTGGGCCATTTACGAGAAACAGAAGCAAGTGAGAGTAAGCGACTTTGCCGAGTGAATGAGAAGGAGTACTCCCGAGAGACCTTCCACTATGTACGCTGCCACGTGATGACGCTGACTACCCTCTAACTCAAGTCTTCGTGGTCCATAGTTATACATAGGTTGCACACAGCGGCATATGCAGGATTTCCTTCCGGGGTGGTGGAAAAGGAGAAGGGGTAATAAAAAAAGTTTGCACCACCCCCCCCCCCCCCCCAAACAAAAACAAAAATTGAATTTTTTTTTTTTTTTGCAAAACTTTTGCAAAAAGGTTTGGTTGAGAGCCACAGCCCACCAGTAAGCTGGGAAGCCAAACGGCCAAAACTTGGAGGTTACATGAGTAATCTGTGAATCGCATATCTCATCTTAAGACTGGGTTCTCTCGTAACTGGTTGTGCCAATTACTCGGAAAATAATTTTGTTTCCATTTTCGTATGTTCGTGACTTTTTGCTCTGGCATTGTAAAACTTAGTGTTGTTCTTGTTTGTCAAACTTTCGGACTGCTAATATGTGTTATGCGAAGACAGTTGGAAAGAAAGTTGAAGCACACGAAGCAATTTTCGATAAATTCGAATCTGTGTGTACCTATGTGAAGTGTCTTCCGTTTGGTGTAGAATTAGTGTATATTAGTGAGTTAGTTCTTTAGCGAAGTTCAAAATATTTTTTTTTTTTATGTGGAGTAAGGTTCTCTTTTTGAGTGTGACTAACAGTTTGGGATTTGTGAGACCTGGAAGGTTATGTAAGGAGAAGCTGGCAGTCTGGATTTGTGAAGTATAGTGTAGTGCGTACTGCCAACAGCACAATTTTTTCTTGGCTTTGAATTTTAGGAAAATAATGAAACGGGTTGATGTTGCTGAATCAAATACAACAGTTCTGGAATAGGCAAAATATTGAGAAACATTAACAGCTTTAAAAATGCTTATCGTTGCGTGTGCTTTGATATTTTTGTTTTGCTCAATGGATGTTTTTTTTTCGTCTATATCGAACGCCGGTGCACAGTCTTACGGAAGTAGTGAAGTCTTCAAGAAAAGTGTGATGTGAAGTGAGTTGTGGAAAATGGCATTTCTGTTGCGTGGCCCATGACAACATAACTGTTTCGCATAGAAGCAAACTCAGTGAAAGAATTTAAACTAATGAAATTCTCGTGTTTGGGGGGTAATTTCAAGGTTCTGCGGCCCCATGCCATGATGAGAAGAAAGAAGTGGACTGCAGAAGAGAGAGCTGGAGGATAGAAGAAAAAGAGGAGAGGATGGCCAGCGAGACCTGAGACTTGGTCGGAGGAGGGGCTCCACAAGGAGCTAAAGCCATTTACCTGCCTGGCTCTTGTCAAGCTGCAACGGCAACTCTTTTTACTTCACAAGCCCAGGATTCGAGGTGACTACGGTGAGCTGCACCTCTTCGAGGTTCGTCCACCCAACAAACTCTCAGGGGCATTTGACGTGAGGGACTGAGGGACGCCTCTTTGCCTGTCATTACAGTGCATAGTTGAAGTTATTTTTGTATTTATTTGCTCGTAATTAACCTGGTGACTTGCCATTTGTTTGTGTTTGTATTTTGTAAATAGAACGTAGCAACTGCTCTGCCACTTGACCTTCCCTTCATTCCTCTTGCGACCAAATTCGGGCGAACAGAGACAGCGTGTTAATTAAACACATCTTCGTCATTGACCCTAGTTTCAAACCTCAAAGGCGGCAACAACAGCTTTATGAATGCGTTGAAGTAGAAACGTGTCTAGTGCACTGTCTAAGCCAGCATTCGTCAAGCTAAAAGCAAACGTGCTGAGCGGAAAGCGCGTGCATTAGGGTGCCCGGCAATAATACACTTTTACACTTTTCTATTTTTTTTTATTTTTTCCCCAGTAGCACATGATTGACGAAGGTGCTGTCAGCACAGGCTACTTAAAGGGGCACTGACACCCCAAAGGTCGTATTTATTTTTATTGTCTAAAACGATGCAAGTTGCAGTCATAAACACGCAAAAAAATACCGCATCGCGAAAAAAAATTTTCCCGCGCGCGCGCACCTTTTTATTTTTGGCGTTTGATTTTCCCGCCTCTCGCCTCCTCGCTTCTTTTGATCGGTGACGTCAAGAATCATGAAATTTAGAAGCTTTGTAGGCAACATCTCTATAACATTTAATTACGGCAATCCTAAAACATGTTTTTTAACGCAATTGTGAACGCAGTACGGTCCTTCTTTTTGAAATACCAAAAATCGGGAGTTCGTTGTGGTGCCGTCTCCTGGATTTGTATCCTCCAACGGAAAACAGGCGACACCACTCAAAACCGGTCCGCCGGAACGCCGCCGCCCGCTCCTTTCCTCCTCGCTTTGGGTCGCCATGGCAACAGCAGGGAGTGGTGAAAGAAAGGGGACTCTCAGGTCTCCGCAATTTTTGACGTCAAGGCACCGGCGCTGATCGCGCGGGAACTTCGAATTCGGCATTTGGAAATTGTTTTTTTACTTCACAAATACTGAATTCCGAAATTTCAAATTTTGAGGGCAATGTCCCGGCATCGTTTTCAATCGTTTCGTATAATAAAAAAAAATATGATTTTGATGTGTCAGTGCCCCTTTAAGCACGTGCCAATAGGACTTTATCTGGTTGATCGCATCACAGTGTTTGCCGTGCTGTTTGGCCCCACCTAAGGAGTATCTTACACCGCGCTCAGCTCTTGGCATAAGACGCCACTAGCGACACAAACGTGTGCAGACAAGTACCAGATTTTTAACCAAGGTACCTAGTTTCTGCTGTATGAATTAGAGCACTGCACAGGCCGGAATCGCTAGGCCCGGCCCGAGCCCGACAGTTTATAAACATGAGCCCGAAACAGTTTGTGGGCTTTAGTCTAAAAACTCTCTCACTATGCTGGTGGAGTCCACACGTTTTCTTTTATTCACTCAGAAGCTTTCCAAGTGCAAGATGTATTTCTTTTTTTTTAATGGCGCCATAATGACCTTGCACTTCGCGTGTTTGTTTTCATTGAACCTAAAAGATCGACAAGCACACTTTTTGTTATCAACAATTTAGAATTTGTGGCACACAACTGCCCAGGCCCGGCCCTGAGAAAGTTTTTTTGTTCAAGCCTGAGCCTGGCTCGGGCTGTGCAGCAGTGCTGCGGAGTTGCCACTCCGGAAATGGAATGATTTTGGAATCATTCCGAATTTTTGCGACCCCGGAATGGAATGGGAATGGGATGGCGGAAACGTTGAGGGGAATGGAATGGGAATGGAATTAGATGCCTTTTGCCCGGAATGGAATGGGAATGGAATAGGCCCGGTTCTTCTTTTTTTTTTTAGTGTTTACGTCTAGTGAACTTGAGCCAGTCAGCGAGCCAGTTTCTCAGAAATAAAATGAGCGGGCGGAAAACAGCTAGCCCGCTTCGAGCTCTAACAGACTTATACGCAAAAAATGCAATACAAAAAGAAGCGTCAAAGCAAAGAGCAGAGGGGGAGGGAGGGGGAGGGGGTTGGGGTTGGGACTGGCGGTGGCGCTTTTCGCGCAGGCGACAGGCTTTACTGGCGTTACATGAGAGCGAGCGAAAAAAGAAACCAAGCACTAAGCAAAAGAAACGAAGGCATGGAGGATACACGCACGCACAGACTGAGATGTGGGAGCGGGGGACGACTCATACCTCACAGAGCCCTGATAACTCGCTGACTCGCGCGCCGCCGAAAGGTGGTCAGTTATTGTTTTCTTATAGTTCGAGGAGTGTTGTTTAGTAGGCGGCCTGTTGCCTTCCATGTTCATCTGCGCGCACTCCTTTGAAATGCGAAATCTGGGTTTGCTTTTCATTTTTTCCTCTTGCACTTCGCTCCGACGTTTGTCTTTTTATACTGCCTTTTTACGTGCAGGTCCGCCTTTTACTTGGTCTTTGTACCGATGCTTCTTTTCTGTGTTATATGTTTTACATTCAAGTGGGTTAGGGTTAGAAGCAAGCTAGCGGATTCCCGCTCATTTCCTTTGACTTTATTTAGTCTCTGCACACTGTGTTTCACCTTGTGATGGACCGCTGCGGATGCTACGAGTCACCCCAGGCAATCCAGCACCGTGAGGGGGACTACACGCACGGCGCGTTGTTGCGCCCCAGGGTCATGCGACACTAAGAACAGAAGGCACTGGATTGGTTTCGATGGCTCTCTTGCTGTCTGTTGCGGTCCATCGTAAGGTGAAGTAGATTGTCGCCACCGCTCTTTTTGCGTGACCGAACTGACTAGACCTGCAGAAAGAAAGTTTCGTGACATGGTATATACAGTCTCTCGTGCTGTGCCGTAGAAGTTGCACTTTGTCAGAGGATCTGTTCTTGCCACTGTAGATGGAGTCGCCTCCAGCAGCGTACTAGCCGTATAGCTGTGCAGGTACTTGAAGAATACAGTAATCTAGCTTATTTCTGCGCCACGCAAGAACTGGACATTTTTATGGTCTTATCAAACAAACACGCTCGCCGCGTACGTCCTAGAAGACAAATGCAAAAAATTTTGCCAAAACAATTAGTGGATTTAAGTTTTGCTGTTTGTTGCGAGCCACGTGGTCGAAAGACCGACGTATTAAACAAGCTTCGAGATATCAAGAGCCTTTCTCGACGTTTGCATACAATGTAAACAAACAGTTTGTGCCTCCAGCGCTCCGCTTAGTAAAATCGGTGCTTTTTTGAGGCATTTTGCATTTTATTGCAATTGTCTATGTGTTTGATAATGTCAACTTTACGGTGCTTATGCCGGCAACACAATGTAGCTGTCAAGTACTAACTTTTACGTTTAGGAGTTAGAGGAATGGAATGGAACGATTCAGCCATTCCAGGAGTGGGAATGGGCCCAGTGTCCCCATTCCTAGGAATTGAAAGGAATTGAATTATCGCAAACTCTAATTCCCCAGAATGGAATTGGAATGGGGGTGCCCATTCCGCAACACTGCTGTGCAGTGCTCTAGTGTGAATTTAAAACCATGTGAGAGGCTTCTACCAATAACTTTGATCCAGTACGTGAAGAATTTTCCGGCGTCGGTACAATAGTTCTATAAGCAGGAAGTATCAATATGCCACTGACGAAAGACTTTGTCGCAAAGGGCTGTTCTGTCAGCAAAACAAATTTCATTATGCGGTTCAAGGCTTATAAAATTCTGGAATCTCGCAATTATTTGATGAGCGGCTTTAGGAACCGTGATTGAAAGTTCTAAGTAGTGAAGTTGTTTCGACTTTGCGAATCGCTGGTAAACAACAAAAGAGTCACCGTGTTGCATTCACTGGCAAATGTAGGGTTGTTAAAATAACAGCGTGACGAAGCGAAAGGCAAAGGGCGTCCACCTTACGAACGAGCAAAGCCGGTGCAAAGGCTCGAACAAACGTAAACACGCTTGAAAAGTGACGTTGCTCACCGCTAACAAAATGCGTCTCACAAATTCGGCAATGTGCAGCTGCATCATCAATGTCAGCTCTTTTGAGCTTCACTTTCTCGATAGCTACTCTGTCGCTGGGCATGTCGATGAAGTGATTGCCGGGGAATATGTTAAAAACCACCGTCTTTCTTGTTCCTCGATTGCTCCAGCCAAACGCGGCGCAGTTTACGATGGCTCTCACAGTAAATGGCCATCGACTCAACCACCAGCATGGTGGTTGTTGGTATTCGACGTCATCGTGCGATGTAGGTGCAACCCATGTACGAGCGGAGTACCGTACTGATTTACAATTTATTTTTGTTTTGCTGTAGATATCAGTCACTTGTAGGACTGCACGTATGTCCGCCTCCTCGACAGCCACCCCCCATGTAGCCAAATGCGCTTGTACCAGCTGTGTGATAGCCTCTCTATGTCCTGCTGGGTCCACCTTTTTGGGAATGCTTCCAACCCACACCTGCTTCCAGCTTACTAATGTGAGCAAAACGGCGTCCTTGTGGGAGTTTCTTCATTGCACCCAAAAACAGGTGATAACCACTGGGGGCCCAATGAGGCCATACCCATGCACAACCAGGCACCTGCTGGTTGTGCATGGGTTGTCCATGTGCAAAAAAAATGGCCAAACCTGATCAGATGCTGACCAATCACGACAATCGCTGCACACAAATGCAGCGATTGTTGCCACTAAACACGAGACTGGGGTATGAAATAGAAACTTAGATGCAGAAGAGACAGAAAACAAGAAAGAGAATGTCTCTTGAGACATTCTCTTCTTTTGTTTCTTCTATGTTTAAGTTTCAATTTCACACCCCAGTCTCAGGTTAAGTTGCAACATGGTAAACATCCACGAGCTCGCCTGTACTCTAACCGTTTTTGCAGTGATTTACCGGCGCCTGATCGAGTTTGGCTGCCTCTCTGACATGTCGTACGAAGAGTCATACGTTTGGTTGCACATAGGTTTGGTTATCACTCCAAAGAAGTGGTTCCAGCAGGGCATGAAAAGGCTGCCACACAGTGGTACGAGGGCATTCGACAGGTGGACATGACAACTGCTATCTGCATCAAAAACATTTATTGTAAATCAAAATGGTACGCCCCTCGTATATGTGGCTACAAAGTAACATCATTTTGCACTATTTCACTGCAAAATTTCACTTCCACAATGCAAAATTAGCGGAACAGAAGGGACATATTTAGAGGAGAAACCACTAGAATGTCGAACGAAACGAGACAAATGCGAGTCATGCAAGTCACCTGGCGAGCCTTCCCTGCGGTCGTCGGCCCCGTCCGCAGAGCGTGCGGAGTGCGCAGAGTGCACGGAGCGCTCGTCGGGACTGGCTACGGCCTCCTCGTCCCCCGACGCCTCTGCGTCGGACCGTTCGGCCCCACTCTCGCGGCCGTCCTCCGACCGGTTGTCCTCTTCGTCGGACCGGTGGACCTCGCTGCCGGAGCCGTCATTGTCGGACCCGTCGCTCCGCCGCTCTGACCGCGCGGGCGTCCGGGCCGTGCCACCGTCTTCCTCGTCACCTGACTGGTCGTCAAAGTGCCGGGATTCGTTGTCAGACGCCTGTGCATTGTCACCGCCGTCGTCATTATCTCCCTGCCGGTCATCGGCCGACTGGGCCCCGCCGTTCTCGTCGTCGGAGTCCCGCTGCTGTCGGTCATCGCCCGACTCATCGCCGGAGCCGCCTCCGCTGCGGGCCCGGCTGCTCGCTCCGCTGGCCACGCTCCGTGCTGGCGACGACTGATAGCTCTTCTCAGAGCGATCGTCGTTGCCATCGTCCTCAGCCACGTGCTCCTCGTTGTCCGAGTGGTCGCTTCGCTCGCCGTCCGTGTGCTGCGGCGTCGCGGGCGTCTGCGACCGGTCGCTTGATGCAGGCGACAAGCTGCGGGAGCCTGGAACAAGGACAATGCCAACGTCAACGTTGCCCACCACGGAAGAGGTTTGCACTTTGTTAGCTGGCATCACGTTTGCAGCAGCAAGATGTGAGGTTCCGCTGAAAGAGAAACAGTTGCTTCGGCCACCGGCATGCTGTGAGCCGTTGGGCTTGGTGCAAGTTCGGACCTGAGATTATAATGAAGTTTCCCCGAGCGAAGCGAGGGCCAATCGTGTGAAGTGTGGTCCGTTTAACAGCCTAGTTCGCCGACCATTTCGATTAGCTAAGCTTCCAAAAAGGGCTTCCAGCGTGCCGACGGCCGAAGCGACCGTTTCACGCTCAGCATCAACCACAGCTCCCTCGGCGCACCGTCAGTCTATGCGAAGCGCAAGTTTGTCTGCTTTTGCAGGGGTTGTGTTGACGTCAGAAAGACGCCGAGCTCCGACTAGTTCCAAATGAAGGATAGTGGGTAGACCTCATAGCAAGCTGCCTTGAGGTATACCCAGTCTCCTTTCAATCAGAGCCAATCAGAGGTTGGCGTCTTTCTGACGTCACCGTAACTCCTGCGCAAGAAGCAGACCACTTGCTCCCGGCCGCGGAGGATTCCGATGAGCAAGTCGTCTGCTTCTCGCGCAGGAGTTGCGGTGACGTCAGAACGACGCTGAGCCCTGATTGGCTTTGAGAGGATAGTGGGCAGTCCTCAACGCTGGATGCCTCCAAGTCTACCCACTATTTGCTTCAAACCAATAAGAGTTCGGCGTTCTGACATCATCGCAACACCTATGCAAGAAGCAGACGAACTTCCACTCCACACACGTCAGCGACCACCAGCGACAGCCTCGGATCTGGTTCTACGCCCGACGCGATAGACGAGCTGCCGATCACGTCCAGTTCGCGCGTGGGGCACGTACGAAGTGAACTTCGCGTCAACTTCGGGACGGCATAATGAGACCTGGAAGCGTCGTGAAATGAAGCCGTTGCAAACTACAGGGGAGCTTCAAATCGAGTCAGATGCTCACACAACCCAACTTCAGACTCGTAACATTCACCGAAGAAAAGAAAGCACTTAATTGCATTATAATGAAAAACACTATCACCTGGGCTTGACGCTCCTCTTGATTCGTCACTTCCAAAGAGGCCGTCCATGCTTTTTTCTTCCGTCACCCCTCACTGATTATGGCAATTAACCGCTCAACCCACTGGGAAACTCTTGTCGAACCTGACTGATGCGCCGATGCGCGATGAGTTTGTTAGCGTCGATGCGATCAACGCGGGATGCGATCGTATGGATGAAACGTTGGATGCGGTTGGGGATGAAACAGCGATGAAGATTATTGAGGATTGAGGATATGTAGGAGACGCCACCTGTCATACAACTTTTAATTATCTACATTTAGTACCGTTACACGCTTTATTTACTTCTACTTTTATATGTGTACTTATTGTCACAAATCAACTCGAGAAAAAATGTCCGTTTTTTTTTTATTTGTGTCAGTCTCAGGCTTCTTTGCGAATAGCACAAACGAACGTAGGTGTCGCTGTCATAAAAGCGTCCCTTGAGCGTTCCAACTTCCAGCTGTCTAAACTTCCGTGGACTGCCACACTGGAGAGCGACCTGCAGCAGAACAGGCGTCTGCGATATAGAGCACAGCCGTTGAAACGCCACCAGGATCGCGGCTGAAGCAACCATGAATAAACGAAAGAAACACAGAAGAGGACGAAACCAACGAAACTCTTGTGTATGTTGTGGACGCGGTAAACAGACCTTATAATGTACGCTAGGGGTTCAGCTGAGGCTAATGTTTGTGTGACTTCTGTGCTTTTGTGACTCAAATTGAAGTAGTCAGCAACGAGTCTACTTTTGCGGTGCTCCTGTGCATTCTATGGGAAAACGCACGTGCATTTAGTATCTTCGCCTGAAAATAACACGGAACAATTTGGTTATTTGGGTCGTAACGAATAGTATGTACCTTTATTAACACGTATTCTCCTTCATCGGTGAACGATGTTTAACTTCGCTACATTTCAGTCCCAAGCATCTGTTCCGCCGCAGGTCTGTAAAAACAAGCGACGATTCGAAGCTTATATATTACTGATATTGACCCCGTCGTGCATCTTTACGAGTGGATAAAAACATTCAAAACTCGAAGAATAAAGTGGCGTGCCCTTCCATTTCTTTTGACCGTACATCCACGGGCGCGAGACACATGGACGGCAGATTCGTCCGATCGGACGTCCGATCCGACAGTCCGAACGCCGCTCCGAATCGCCGCACGCGACAGTTTGAGACACACGCTTCCGACGTGCTTCCGACACAAGCGTTTCGGGGCAGTAAAACTGGAAACGCCGATTGGCTGAAAAAAAATGACGTCACTTCCGGTTTTGTTATTTTGTTGATTTTTAGATAACGTTTTAAAGTGAAAATATATAAAAAGGTACTTTTCTTGTTTTTGTTTGTTTTTACTTTTTTTTTTTTTTTTTTTTCCTTGCTTGATTTTTTAATTTTGGCTGGTACGGTTCCGTTCTGTTCCGCCTTGGCGCCCTCGGCCGCGGGGGCAATGTTTTTGTTTTCGTTCTACGTTCAGGTGTTGGGTGGCGACGTATTAACCGTCGATAACCAGCTGAAGCAGCTCAAGTTCTCGAGTGGAACGAGGTTGACCGTGCGCAGTGGCAGCCGTTGACAACAAAAACAATGTATGCACTCAGCTTCGCCGGATGAGTGCCGGCGTCGATCGCGAACCGCCAGAGCCGCCAAATACCTCTCGTACATCTCCAAGAACACCAAGAACAGGAGGTATTCATAAAGGTGAGTGTTCACCGCACTTTAGTGCTTCAGTTCCGTTTGGAGTCGTTTGACATAATTTAGTCCGGTGCGTCCGGGAACAAAGGCGCTACCAGAAATGGCGGGAATGGTCGGTCGGTGCTGAATGCTGATGCCATCCAAGCGGATTTGAATTGGGTTTCGTGCGCTCAACGTGTCGACTTGTTTCTTGAGCTGCCTTTACCAACCGCTCGCCCGAAATCGTTCGGTAGAACATGCGGACGTGACGGCTAGCAGAGCCCTCCGCAAAGGCTTAGGAGCGCGCTCACAATTTTGGAAGCTTCCGTATGACCGCAAGTGCTCAATAAGTCGCTATAGCAATGATTGCATGCCATCGACACAGACTTCGATCCAGTTTTTCAACGAGACAGGAAGGCCCAACGAAGCAAGCGTAGAATCTGATGCTTCGCCTGTCACTGTCTGCGCGGGAACACGCCGAGAGGCGCTTAAACGAGCTGCCAGGGCGTAATTAAAAAAAAAAAAAAAAATCTAACGCAGGTCTGAACCACGCGAGGATCGTCTCGAAGCATGGTAGCCTCAACAGACGCTTGCCGCCACACGCGAGGAGAAAGCAGGAGGCCCGAAGTTTGAATGTGAAGGTAAAACGTGCTTTAATAATAATGATCTTTATCTGCACGTTCCTTTGTATGACTAAGGTGATCGTGCTGAGACACAATATAGCAGCGATTGCTCTCGAACAAAGGACAGGACAGCAGAAAGGCAATGAGAGGCAGGGAGATAACTGACCTCTCTGTTGTAAAACATTTTTCAGAGGAGGTGCGAAGAGCTGGCCCTCACTTTTTCAAGGCAGCCGCAGAACACTACGAGCCCCGAATCACTGCCGCGGCTGACTCACGCGGATGCTGTGCTGCACCCTGCACTGCACATGGTTCGAAGCACACTTCAGGGGACCAGTGCATGCCCCTGATGCATCGTCGCGGTATGTTTTGTACTGCTTTTCCTAGCGGTGCACTGAGCAGTCCAATCTTGAAGGGAGCACGCGAGTGCGTAGCCAGTGCTCCATGCAGCGAGGACCGCAAGCACCCGCGGAAGCTTGGAGCACACGCAGTGACGCCAGCAGCCGTGCACGCTGGCGTCGTCTGCTACTGTACCGTCCTTTCGTTCGGTGCGCAGAAAAAAAAAGGAGTGACCGCTCTGTTAAAAGTCTGATGGTGAAGGCATCCTTTACAGAAGCACTGTATGGCTCTCTGCACGCTAGAATGGGGGCTGTCGTTGATGCTCGCAGAGGCGTCGCCCACAACTAAGCAGACGACCAAAGTCCTGAGCAGGTGACTAATCGTTTCATTGTTCTTTGGTAGGGAAAGGTAGATAATGTGCTTCTACTCCCAGCTTTGTTTTTTTTTTTTTTTTTTATCACCATTTAGTATGTTACCATCAAAACAGCATCCTGGTGTTCACATAAATATGTGTTAACAATACCTATCGTCAAATATGTGACTCAAAGAGCCAACTGCGGCCGAGGATATCTTTTAAGTGTTCTTTTTCTCACAAAGATCCCTGGCATCTGGCATTGACTTTTTAGCCACGTACCTTGAGTCCACAAAAACAATGTACTTCAGCTAAATGGTATTCACACAAAATACATCCTGACAAGCTGCTTTCACTCTCGAGCCTCGAAGAAATTTTGCAGTTTGATTTGAACTATGTTGTAGGTTAAGGAGGTAGGGTCAGGGAAAAGAAGGTGGGAGAGGAGGAAGCGGGCACAATGCTGGTCAAACCCTCTCCCTTCGCCGGCGCTGCATCCATCTCGTCCTCTCCCACCTTCCTTTTTCTTCCCCTACCTTCTTGAGTTGTCACCGACCATATAAAAGGCATGCATTGATATCACTTGTTCGTTTTGTGGCCATGGCGCCAGCAAGGTTTGAGAAACGTATCCTGCTTCACAGGAATTCAGCACTCAACATGGAGAAACTATTGGCAGTGCTGCTGTAATGTCTTTGTCCTCGTCTTTTGCAGCCATCTAAAAAAGAGAAATATAATACTAGGAACACAGAGCAACGTCACGCGCCAGTACATAGTGTACTACGAAGGGCAGGTAAATTGACTGCGGAACACGATTTTCTCAATGTCCTCACGGTTCTTTCGGCCAAGTACATACAGATAAGACGATTACCATTAGAAATGTTGAACGCCAATCCGAAATGTTTTTTGGTGGTGTGCCGAGCAAAAGGACATTGCTGCAACAGAAAACATGTGCCATCCTCCGCCTTTGGTGCTTCTGTGTCTGCGCCGAGCTTCCGCAGCCACCAACAGTCAACGCTGCATGGACTGCCCGCCATGCTTTCATGCGTTCCATGTATGATTGGCACGGCATGTGGATGTGTCATGCAAGTGACATCAGCGCTGTTGGCAGTGCCATGCTGGTTGAGCTTTGCTAGGCTCTGACCATTGACAAGCTGTTTTATGCAATAATCGCTCTTGGAAGTCCCCAAACTGTTTTTAGCAATTCAAGTGTCAGATTTTTTTTAGCTATGGTTATACAGGTTTTCTTTTTTAACATTTACAGATTTCAAAGAAAAAGTGAAAGTTATGACAGTTATAAGTTATACGGCCAGGCGGACATTAGATTCATGGAAGAATGCAGCTAAAAGTCCGTGTAGATCATGTGTATCATGCTTCTCTACAGCGCAGCTACATACTTGCGTAGGACAACCCCCATGAAGTGGGGTGGGGGGGCTGCATGCGTGTGTTGGGAGCCCCTCTTGGTTTTACAACTCTACCCTGATGTAAAATTTTAGATTTTAATGCGAACAAGTTGATAACAAAAAAGAACTTGGTCAACATTGATCTTACAACTAGAGATGTAAAAGGAACAAAAATAGAGAACAGCAAAATGTGGAAGAAGACATCTCGCTTCTTTCATTTTCATTTGACTAAGTGACATTGGTCGGCGACTGTAAGACTTTTAATCATAATAGTTATACACCACAGGTCCCGGGGATCATGGCATCGATGAGCTCGCTTTCGCCTTGTCCAAGGTAGCAGCGGAACACTACGGGCAGGCCCGGAGTCACCGCACCGGCTGGCTCACGGGCGTCGTCCTGTACTCTGCACGGCACTGCGTGTGGCTTAATCGGCCAAGCAGAGGGTCACTGCATGACCTTTATGAGGCGTCGCTAGCCATTGTAAGTATATTTTGGACGCTCGTGTCAGGGGATGTACTTTTGTGTTCTACAACAGAACATGTTTGGTGGCAGTTCAGTCTTGCCTATTCAGCCATTTCGAAACATAATTTTGTGGCGACCTGGCTTAGGTTTTCTGGCTCGGCCGTCTTTTGCACCAGTGTCTAGGCTCGGCGTAAGCCTCTTTGTTCTTTATTGTCAAGGCTAGTGTAATTTCTGCTACGCCGTCGAAGCAACTTCTGCATGCGAACAAGATGCAAGACGAAGCTACATGCTCGTGCTCAGTGCATGACCACATGTGAAAACTAATAGCGAGTTTGTTTCGCTGCACTCGTGCCCATGCGCAGCCACTCGCAACATG